TTGAGGGTAAAAACACCCAAACTCAGTCTACAAGGATGTCACAGCCCACCAACAACAACATACATAAGAGCCATCAACAATAGAGAAGGAAAATCAGGATTATCACCCAAAAACGCAGCGTCGCACCAGCTGCGATTACAGAAGATCCGTAGCTCCGATTGACGTGAAAATTGAACAGATTGAAGCCCTAAGTGTTGGGAACAACCTCTGAAAATTTCAGCTCAATCCAACGGTTGGATCTCCGGCGATGATCGAATTTGTGCGGCTGGTCTGTACATTCTGCACCACCACCTTTCCTCTCTCAATTCTGATTTTTTTTTCTCTCTGCTCTATCGTAAGTCCTCCCACTGCCCAGCCCTTTTACTTCCTTCCTTTTGTTAGTCAACCAAGGAAAAAACATAATTGGGCCCTCCACCAAAGAAAAATGGAACCCAAACAAAATGGGCTGGACCCACAACATTGTGGCATTAACCTCGGCAAATTATGAACACATAGGAGTAAAATCTTGTAAGTAGGAACACACTTAGAGAATATTGCATTATGAAAAATATCTTACACAAACAAGAAGCAAAGAAGAATTAATAAAAAAGAGAATCTAGATGGAGAACTTCTTCCAGAGCAATGAGAGCATGAGCTTTGAAGAGTGGAACAAGAGGAGGTCTATATAATCGCCTACGTTGAGCATTCAAATGCAAATTTAAAGCATCAACCATTAAACAACCTCTATAGTGTACACTTAATCCCACCATTATATTGATACTTAATACTTATATATGTATTCATGTACTAATAATTTGTTACTCCGTATTAAAATCAAATATCCCTCTAGATTAACATTAAGTGTAGGTTGGACATTTTAAATATTATAGTTTCTATAGACTGAAATACTTTACTCTTCTCAGCCACTTTATGACCACCGGTATCATCTCGATATTGTTATCTCAGCTAATTGTATATAGTTTATTAATTCTTTGGACTCTTGTTGAAGCTAATTTTAGATAATATTTTTCCATATTTTATTTCCTTCTCGTTCTCTTCAATATTTTTAATTTCTTCCTATGCTTTTCATAGGATTTGCAAAGGTCCAAGGACTCTTTATTATCAACATAACTTAATTCTAAGAAAACAATATCACCGAACATCCAACTTCGGAAAACCTCTAAATCAGCGATTGGAGAGTTATCCTTTCAATTATGCCCACATCAAAGGAATTCATTTTTTTATCTCCTACTTATTTTTATCTAAAAGATATTATGTCCTGGTGATATGGTGGTGCGTCCCAGCCTTCTTCCAACAGCATATGAGCAGTAGTCATTTAATTGAAATCGATTTTTTAAAACATAGATTAAAATTAAGAACAATATTTCTTTTAAAAATATAGTGTTTTCCAATTTTTTAAAACAAGATTGGAATTAGAAGAGGTGTTTTCTTCTAAAAAAACAGCACAGGGTTCAAGAAAGTAAAAGTACATACATCAATGCTTTAAATAAATTTGAAAAATGATGATCCAACTATGAAGAATGTGTGAGTTTGTTTAAAGGCTAGACATTCAAAAAAACAGATACACTACACCTTAAAAGTATGTAAACATTGGAAGTTCAATAATAACCTGAAGAGATCAAAACGGGGCACAAGCAGTATTTAAATCACCTGTGCCAAACATTAAGAACTAAAATAAGTTAATTGTTATAACTAACAGAGTGAGTATCTGCTAGAAAGCACTACAAAATATATGCATACTGAGAACTGAACCCATAAGTTAATAAACAATCAAATACGAAGAGGGAAGACGGTGTCTTATTATATATTTCAAATTAGCATAAGTTGGCATATTTCAGTTTAAAGATGATTCTTCGATATATGTTTGAATTAAGATACTACTCGAGTAAAGTGATAAAAATATAGTGTTTGAGTTATTGAAAAGTAGTATACTTGAAATTTTGCAATTTGAGTTAGAATATGTATTTGATTTTTAAGAAATAAGTAGTTTTTTTATTTCCACAGAGCATTTACTTGTTCTTGTTTTTAAAAAAAACAGGATTCCATATTTGTAATTAGTTGCCTCGAGAAATAAAAGTTAAAGTCATCTTCCAAAAAACAAACCAAACCAAAAGAGTAGTTAATGAAATGGAAAAGGTTGTAGAGATGAAAGGTTGTTCATTGCCTTTTACATACATGAGAGCCACCATGTGTTATTGCTCACATTGATAGATATATTAACTTTTGGTATAATCAAGTGATAAACCAAATGGGGAGGCTGGTGCATATCAAGCATATTTTGTTTTCCATTCCACAGCATACAGTGGCAGTACATCACCCTTTCTCTCCCTTAAAGTAGGCAAAAACTTCCCCATGCAATTTTATAGAGTATGAAGTTTTGGTCACAGCAAGAAATGAAATTTGGGGAAATTTTAGTGCCTACATAATTTGAACGAAAGCTTTCCAAGTGACAGAGTTGTAGGCCTTTTTAATGTCTACTTTCATCATACACCTAGGAGTTATCCTCTTTCTATTATAACCCCTTGCTAACTCTTGGAAAATTAAGACTGTATGGACCAAATCCTTCCCTTCAACAAAAGCCCCTTGATTGGTATCTAAAGTAGAAGGCCTTTGGCAACTAACTCTTTCATTGTAAAAAAACAAATAATAGTATTTGCAAACATGTGAACACCAAGAATCATCAATAAATTATGATTCTGATCTTAATCTTACTGAATTTGAGTCTTCTAAATGAATAATTAAAAAGTAATTTCACAACAGCAAGTATCTAAAAATAACCTAGAATTCCAAGTCAATTCATGATTTTGACATTACAAATATCACTTATCTAAAAGAAGAAAGAAATCATGGGAGAGTGAAAAATCCTACACTACCTCCCTGCAAATCAATTGTAGAAAAGAGAAGGGATGCTTGCAAACACTGACCTTGAGAAAAAAATCTAAAAATGCGGAAATTGATGAAAATAAAACTTAGGAACAAACACAAATAATCATTGACTTAGTTTAAGGTCTATAAGTATGTAATTTCAGGAGTTGGAGAAGAGGAGCCCTGAAGATGTAATTTGAGGTTGGCAGAATCCATGCAATTACTTATGAAATCAGAAGTTGGACAGGGGAGGTCACATTCAAGCAATCTCCTTCCCCGATCAATCAAGCAGCGGCATGCATTCTACCACAATTGACCCACTGACTTCTGCTAACCCCTCTGCTCCATCATGAAATTACTTCTGATTAAAAAGTTGAAATCCTGAAGATTACAGTGGTTACCTTGGTTTGGCAGAGAGGAGTTGGAGAAGAAGAGTGACATCTGCAATCCCAGGAAGACATAAAAGCTTGACCCATGGTGGGGCGGTTAACGGCGACGCAGGGTGTGTCGTGGGGCGGTGGGCGGCAAATTGGCCAATGGCATCCTTCATTCGTGCGTTTTGTAAGTAACGGAGATAGGCGTTAAAAAAGACGGAAAAGAAGCGAGGCTAACCTTGTAAGCGTCTGCACCAGAGAGACGTTAGAGTTTGAGGGTCTCTGTCCCTAGGAGCATGATTCCTAGGTGCGAGGTTTGATATGGTATTGATTCGAGGTGTTGAAAACAATATTTATTCAATAAGGATAACGGAGGATGCGTAACAACATTTCATCCTATGTTCATCATTATTCCATTAGGAAGTAGTCGTGCAGTAGGTGAAATAAGCATTTAAGTAAGTCCAGCAGTTTTTTTACCCAGGTTTCCCAAAGGCGTATTGAATTAGTATACGAGTTAGTTTCAGTAAAGGCACATATTAGATGATGGGATCACGACCTGAGGCCGTCGCCTTCCAATATGTGTGGCATAATCAGTATTCGTTATATGACTATGAATGAAGTCATGAGTGAGAAGAAAATTACAAATAAGCATGCCAAAATCTATTTAAAATTCGACCAGGCAGTGGTGCATTAGGTCAAATAAGGGTCATATGAAGTGGGCTTAAAAGAAATCCAAATCCAGGAAGAAATAAGTGTCAGCCTGTGTTTAAAATGTAAACTTAAAACACACCGTGAGGAAGAAAGTAAAGAAGTGCCTAGATACTGAAAGTTTTTATTCCCACCACAAACGAGTGCACGGAATACAAATGTGTTCTTGGGTTTGAAATTTATTAGCATTGTAAAGATGGTGGATTAGGTGAGAATCAGTGTAATGTTAAAAAAAATGTGAATGAATTCGAAAAGCGGTAAAGTTAAAAGGATAGGAAATATTATTAAGATTGGTTTGGCAAATGTATGTAATATTGAAATAATAGAAGACGTGATAGAATTAGTACTGGAACATACTCTTGGTCTATGATGATGAAGTCGGTTGTTGTCTTTTGACCTTTTTTTGTGAAGACAAACCTGCGGGCCAATTTGGAAATAACAGCTCCAAGTACATCTGTTATTTAGGACATAGCAGTGTTAGATATTAAACATATAGTTAATGAAATGTGTAATGAGAAATGTATGTTTCAAGTATGATCAGTGGTGGACAGGGAGAGTAATGATGTTAAAGCAAAAGCAGGTAGTGTAATGGAGGAAATGTGTTATTACTTACTGATATCTTTTTTACTCCACATTGATTTGTAGAACATTGAAAATGGTTCAATTTCAGCATCTGCAGTTGGCTGAGGTACGAGCTTTTCATCGGGACTGACGTCATGAATCATTGTTCTTCTATTCAATGTCCAAATGAACCTATAAGTTTCATCAGGGACCGCAAACCCATGCGTCGCTTGCGAAACCCTTGCATCAAATACCTTATATGTGCCATTCAGCTGGATGCGTTTGTCGATTATGGCAATATCTTGTCCATAAGTCATTGCTTTGACCTTGTGTCCCTATAAATGAATAAGATTTTAGAGGTTTGATATTAAGAGTTTATTAAACAAGAAGTTTGTATTAGTGTGGTTCAAGAATTTTACAGCACTGTCTTGCAAGATTATAGGTTTATATGTTAGTCCAGGTTTATTGAATGATTCGCGTTCGTTCAACTTCTCAACCACCAGAACTTTGCAGCTCCATGACCTGGAATTTGGTTTTATGTGTATGATTTGTTCTTCTGCATCCATTTGCTTGAAAATTCAAAGTGAGAAAATGAGAACTTAGAATATAGGCTTGTAGTTTAGAATTTAATAATTAATAAGTAATGCATGAAGATAATAATATTGAATTTAAAAGTTAATATCATAGTTTCAAAGTAAACTGTCAATTTCTGAGTGCTTAAATGGACAGTGAACGCTAAAAAGGACAATATTTTTTTGTAATCTTAGAATTGCTAAAATGGACAGGAAGCGTGGGTAGAACAACCCGTCATGCCTTCTAAATCATCCGTTTGAAGTAAACAGTTGTAGAGAAAGCAAGGACTTTATTCCTTGGCGATAGCAAAAGCAGACACAATGAAAAAGGATTCAAACACAGGCATATAGATGGGAAAAACTGACCTATTTTTTTACTATGCAAGGTATTCCAAGATTTCTTTGTACACAATATTTGCTGTGACATTTGTGGTCTTGGAAATGTGATTGTCTTTGTGAATAAGTATCTTCATGGATGCTGCATTTTTCGCACGGGACATCGCAACGTACAACTGGCCATGAGAGAAAACTGGTTGTCTAAGATAGATTCCAGCAAAGTCGAGGGTCTGGCCTTGTGATTTGTTGATTGTCATTGCGAAGCATAGCTTAATTGGAAATTGAGTTCTCTTGAATGGAATTGTACACTTTTCGTCTTTAGAGATTTCAAGTGGTATTCTTGGTATGAATACATGTTTGCCCTTATAGTCACCAAATGCTATAGAACAACTTATGAGATTATCGTGAAAAGCATCACATATTAAGCGTGTTCCGTTACATAAGCCCTCAGCAGGATTCAGGTTTCGAAGTAGGATGATTGGGCACTTTTTTTTAAAACTAAGGTGTGGGGAGGCAAACCTGCAAATGACAATGTGTGTAGGAAGTCTTGGCAATTTTTGTACTTAGGATCGAGCGCTTCATCATAGCTTAGCAGCGTTTTTGATTGTCCAGGGAATGTATCAATGAGGATTCCGTTTATTTGATCCACGTACTCATTTGTGGTGGTTAGAATTATTCTACCCATCAATGTGTATGGATCTTGTTGAAAAAGACTCAGGTCTGGGTAAACTGCTGCTATCAGTGACGACAATGGGTTTGAGGCATGACCGACATGAGTAAGGAATTGTTTTGGAATTTCAATGTTTGTACCATCAACAGTCGGTGTTGTTCCATTTCCTATCATCATTAGATATTTGCAAAAAAACGGATCAGATTGAGCACGTATATTCTGTACTAAAACGAGATGTTTCAATTTTGCCCAAATATAGGAGGATTTAACAATGCATGCATTAATAGAGTCTTGTTTGTTTCCATGCCTAACAACAGGGAGAGTTTGGCGTAAATCTCCACCGAAAACAATAATTTTTCGTCCAAAGACTTCCTCCGAGCACATAATATCTTTGAGACTTGTATTCAATGCTTCGATAATACCTCGGTTAGCCATTGTAACCTCATCCCATATGATAATTCGTGCCTCTCTTAGTAATGTAGCTGTTGCACTTTGCTTACCTATGTTACAAGTGTTTCTGTCGTTTCCATCGAGCGGCAATTTAAATCTAGAATGTGCAGTGCGACCTCCTGGAAGAATTGAAGCGGCAATACCTGATGTTGCAGTAGCCAAAGCTATCCATTTTTTGCTCCGAACTATTGCTAACACAGCTCTGTATAGAAATGTTTTTCCTGTACCACCAGGACCGTCTACGAAGAAAACTGCGCTTTTGTTTAAAAATACGCTTTGCATAATGGAGTCAAAAGCAGCTTTTTGTTCTTTGTTGAGAAGCTGGGCGCACTGAAGGTCCTGTTCGCTGACGTTTATGTTATGCTCTGAGCTCAATTCACGTGCCTGAAATTCAGTGGTACTTAAAGACATGGCAGAGTCGATTAAATTGAATGTAGCAATGCTCTTTCCAAGACTTTCAGTTATGTCTCCAATAAGTTTGAGTACAATCATTTCCATTTCTATTGGAGTGTAGAATCCTGTCTGAGAAAAGTCTTCATATAAGTGAGGTTTGTACTTAGACCATAGTTCTCTTGGATTAGGAACCTCGCAAAAGACCAATAACGAAGCAAACAATCTCCTTAAGCTACTGGGCATTTGATATGTGATTGCCTCTTCAAGACAGACATCAATTGTAGCATTTTCTGTTAAAAGTCCCATTCTTTCAGCACTCTCTCGAAATGTGGAAAACATGTGACCATCGACGAGTCTCAAACTGTTGAATGACGTTGGAGCTTTGACATGTTGGAGTAAGATGCGAAGGTAATATCTCTCTCCTTCTGTTGGATTTACGCTGACAAGTCGTCCGATAACAGTTTTACGTTTTCGTTGCGTCCATACTTTGTTTGTGTCTGACCAAACAAAATATTCAGGGAATTGTATGTAAAGTAATTGAAGTCCTTTCGCAACGATGTCACATGTGTTCATTTCAAAGAAGTTAGTCAGCATTGTGCTCGACTTATTATCGTCTTTAACAATCTTCGTGATTCTTTGGTTTCCAAAGAAGTTGATGTACTGGAAATTTTCTAAATGCACCTGTAATTGCAAAACTGGGGGATGCATTTCGGCAATTGGAAAACCAAATATTCTCCACGCCGCCTCTGGTGCAGAAACCCATCTTGCATTCTGAAAGTCTGCAATCTCGTCATGTTCAGAAGTGGTTTTATCGGTGGAGATGCCAACAGAAATTCTATCATGCCCTTTGTAGACATACTTATATATGTATTTAACAGATCTGACCGACGCACAAATTTCAACATTAATGTGGCAGTCATATTTTAATAAGAGTTGTGGGTTGTAGGGTACTACCCAGGAGTTATCAAGTGCACACCCCCTTATTTCTACAGTGTTTCTGTTGTTCCTTCTGCGGTAAATAGGAAAGGAATCTTCTCCAAATGATGTTTCATCACTCAAAGATCTTGGGTACTTGCTTCTACAAGAGGAGGCTGACTGTCCCTTTTTTTTGTCATACATGGACAACTTCGGTTAAGAGCGCCGCAAGGGCCGTGTATCATATGTTTTTTGACAAGTGAGTATAAACGTGGTTGGTGTTTTGGGTCAGGTATTTCCGCAGAAACAAATTTGTCGCAGAGAAGGGAATTCTGTATTTTTGCTCCGACCTTTAGGATTATAAGGAAATGTGCATGAGGAAGCCCGCGCTTTTGAAATTCTATAACATATATGTATGCTGCAACTTGACCAAAGAAACTTTTTTTGATGATATCATTCTTGAATTCCTGTAGTCGTGCATGAAAAGCCCTACACACAAGATCTGACGATTGTGGGCCTCATCTCGATGGTGAAGGTGCTCTTTGATTTCAGGCCAATTCGGATTACACATCATCGTTACAAAGAGATCTGGTTTGCCATATTGTTGAACAATTGCCATTGCATCAAGATAACGTTTACGCATATCTCGAGGACCGCCTATGAATGAAGCTGGTAGAATGACACGTTGGCCAACATCGTCGCCGTATTCCATGCCTGTATACATGCTATCCACAACACCTTGATACGTTTCAGATCTGAGATCAAGTTGTTTAAGTCTATAAAAATCCAAACGTTGTGTTTCAATTTTGACGTAGACATCAACAATAAATTGTTGTAACAACCTTCCTGTATGTAACAAATAGCTGTTGTCATTCTGGCGTATTTGGAGCTTATAAGCATAATACTCCCTACAGGAAACCGTTTTTCTCTTCCTTCCTGTTTGAATATTATTTTCTTCAATCCGAATTACATCATCAGCGGTGTGTGCAAGGTTAACATCTGACATCACACAAGGTATCTGTTTGGTTTTTGCTAAATGACGACGTTGCACTTTTGACAATACCCTATCAATCCCGGTATGCCAACCTACCTCCCCATGAGCAAACAATAATGGATATTGTAAAGGATCATAACATCCGTAGAAGTATTGTATGCTCTGTGATTTTCCAGTGTGACCATAAACACGAATGTGTTTGGTTTCCTGAGTTCCGTTGTTCCTATCTTCTACCCATATTGCAGCAATTTGTGACGCAGTAGGAGTATTATAGACTCGTTGATCTAAGCCTGGATGGTTGTGTAGTTGTATACTAAACTCCGCATCGTTACATACATCTTTGAGACTCTTAAAAAACTGAGCGTATGGATTATCTGAGATCAATTCAACAAGAGCTGATACTATCTCTTTATCCAACCTATCTGTTGTCTGTGTCCTGTTTTCAACTTGGTGATCGGTGTCAAAAAAATATAGCTGTAAATTTCGCGGTGGAGATCCATTTGGCAGCAAGTCATTCACGAAATGATATATTTTCCCCTGCACCTTAAAAGTGTAGATTCCTTTGTTCCTTTTGCACAAATCCTTGTCGTAATTATATATACCGATTGAGGTGAATGCAAATGTGTTGTTGTATGTACGAACAAGAGATTGAAATTGTTTTGCTTTAACATCATTCCCAATGAATAGGTCTTTTAATGCAATGGGCATCTGAGTGGATTCTAGAATGACCTCACCTCGACAACAACAAAACCCCAAAGGCTCAAACTCGAAGCGACTTGCACCACAAAATATGCAATCTAATACCCTCTTTAAAGAAAAAGGTGATTCATGATATGCATAGAGCGTTGATGAATTTGTCGAAATAGGATTAATAGTTGTGGGTAGAGGAATATCAAGAATATAGGAATGAAAATAGTTGAATGTGTTGGGGTATGTATTCAAAGGTTTTTTTTTGGGGAGGATAGTTAGGAAAAGAAGAAAAAAATTAGCCAATGGCTTTGAAAGCAAAAATTAGGCTATAATGTATATCATAAAAAATTATTAGTAGAACAGGTGCCAGAGATTTTGGAGCGTTGAGTAGTAGTTGAACCCGTTTCTTTTTCTTGGTCACGTAACTCACGATATCTAAGCCGACGTCTAAAGTTTGTTTGTTCACGTCGATTACCCTCGCGACTGGTTGAGTAGATGAAGATCCAACTTCCATTGAATCTTTAATAACTTAAGATTACACCCAAGTGTTGACTAAGGTTATGCATCATGTAATTACAAATATAAGTATTAAATTTAGTAACTCCTAGGTTTTTTTTTAAAATGTGGCTAGCAAATAAGAGAACTAAGGTTCTTTTAGTACTAAGTGTTTTTACAGATATCTATATCAAAAACCTACAGATGCTTATAAAGAATTTTAATTCTTAGAAAATAACTTTGACACTACATTTCTAGAAATACATAGAAAATATGTTTTCAATAAAATTTAAAGAAATATATATTTAAAGTGCGTAAACATACCAAGGAAGAGGAACAAGAAGTTGATGAGATAAAGACGGAGCACGAAGAGTATTGTGTCACCTGTGAAGACCATAAAGAATAAAATAATTATCAAACTAATTACATGAACACATTCTTCACATATATGTAAACTACCACCCCTATGAATAAAGAAATGTAACAAAGTGGGACTGCCACAACCCCTCAGATCATGGTGGTTTTTTGATTATTTGTGCCTGGAAAGTTTTAGATAGGTTTTTTCTTCTTTGTTTAAAAATATCATATTTGTGTGTCTAAATAGTTTAAAAATCTAGCATAGTTTAAAATATTTCCAATGTGTTTTAGTGTAAGAGTTTAATATCACACTTTTTTGTTAATGTGATAATGGGACATCTATTATATTGATAGTTGGTCAATACAGTTTGAACTATCATAAGCATAGAGATCAGATACCATTTTGCCTATGTCATTGGTTTAGAACATGGATTAATTTGTTCTTGAAGAATGAAGATGTTCACTTTTTTGTCTATACAGTAAATAAAAGTGAATATACCGACATAAGCATAGAGATCAGATACCATTTTCTTCTTTGTATAAAAATATCATATTTGTGAAAGTGTAAATCCCACAAAGTCATATCAAGTGAATATCCTGCCAATCTTTCTAATCCCCTCCTCTTTAAATGGACCAAGTATCCGGGTAATCTAGTTATTATTCCTCCACCCGGCGTTGGTCTGTTGGAGTTCAGGGACCCAAGTACGGCTTGGAGTGACCAGAAAAATGGCAACTGGTTTCTAACTATATAAAATTATAATACTCCGCTGCGAAGAAGCTAAGATCGTGGTGCGGTGGGCGGCGAAAATGGCCAAACACAGAGACAAAGGTACCCAAATCGACAACACTGACTATGCTTTGGGGGAACAGAGCTAAGAAGGAAGGAGAAATAACTTTTCCAAAATGGGAGGACAACTTTTCAATCTTCATTACGAAATTTACCTTTTCATTCTTCTTTCAAGTTTTAAAATTGAGCAAAGATTATAGAGTAAATCTATACGAGTATAAGTTAATTTTTTATCCAATGTTTCTTTGTTCCTTTCGTATATTTCCTCAATCCAACCATGAACAATCTAAAATAATGTTTTTAGTAAAAAAGTGAACAACAAAGGACTTTTTCCAATATGCAGTAAATAAAACAGCAGGTGAAAGTGACATACACATAGTCATGCGGTATATAGCAATCTTAAGCAATAGAAATATTAAATTATAGAAGCTAGGGTATGCATCTTTCTGCCCTGTTATGGGAAAAATGACACTTTTGGGGGATGTTTTTGAATCCTAAGGACTGATTTTCATGAGAAATTTAGTACTTCCAGTGCTGATTTTCAAAGACAATTCAAATTTTGAAGTTAATTTCCAAGCAAATAGCACACCCTTCAAAAGTATCAATACTGTAACATGAATCGTAAATGCATGAACATGATGTACCAAAACCCTTGAAAGTAGGTCAAATAAGCAAGAAATAGATGGGCAATTTATATCTTCATACCAGTAACAAGAGTAAGGGATTCCATTTAAGTTATTTAGAAAAATAAATGAGGGGATGGAGTAAACACACTAAAAATGAAACAACAGAATAAAGGAAGATGAAACAGGAATAAGATATATTGAAGGTCTACTAAGACAATGTTTTGTTCTAGAAAATAGAGAGAAAACAAAAGAACTACAACAAAATAAATGGAGATGAAAGGAGTCCAATGCTTAGGCCTCATATTAATGTCATCTAGCCATTACTAAAAAGGCATAAACAAATTTTATCTATAGAAGTGGGTGGAATTCCAACAGATTCCTAAGTTTTCTAACACAGATTGCTGTGAATTTGAACTTTAAAAAATTTGAATAATCCCAAAATTTTTTGAGGCCTAAAGCTGGGAATTGTCCGAATAGAGTGGATTATAAAACTCTTGAACTTCTAGAAGAGGATGAACTTTAATTGGGTTTCATTTTTTTCAGCCACAAAAAGGTGTGAAATTGATGAATCTGAAATTGGAAGTAAAGAAAAAGCTGTGAAATTGAAGACAAAGCTGTGAAATTGGAAGAATTCCCAAAGAGGCCAGCCTTTTGCGAAATTAAAATTTAGGAAAAATTGATGCAACTCAGTAAAGAAGAGTGAGCAGGGGGAAGAAAAATACCTGCAAAGTTGAAGCAAGAATAGGCGCACCGGAAGAAGAAACTGTAGGAAGAAGAAACTGGCTGAAACCGTGGAAACCATTCTTTTCTATAATACTCCGCTGTGAAGAGGCTTGGATCGTGGGGCGGTGGGCGGCTAGAATGGCCAATCCATTTCATGCTTCGTACTAAACACAGGGAGAAGATGGAAATGAATAGTAAAGAAACGATGAACACTAGACGCGTTAGAAAATAAACGGAAAAACGCCCAAGATAACCCCTTTAGACGCTTATAATATTATACTAGCAAGAAACGCACTTTGTGCGTTTGGTGCCCAACATTTAAAGAAAATTACGAAATTTAACATGTATGACTTTGCATGGTGTCTAAAAGGAGTTCCAGAAAACAAGAGTGTTGTTATGCTTAGGGCCCCACAGAAAATGTGTTGGGGAGACTCCCCACATACTATGTAAAATGGAACCAACAAGAGGCCTCTCCAACTCACGAGTCTGGGAAAAAACATGGCGTCCATTACAACTATAGTCGCTGACAGCCTGGGTACTCTTCGTCCTAACCGCAATAACCATATCTTTGAATGCCACGGCCTGATGGTAACGGTTGAGCAACAAAATCATGCTGACATCCAAATCAAAAACATAGACTGGGACAACCCTCCCAAAACCTTCATCCAAAAGAAAGCTTCACTACCCGTTCTGACAAAGTCTGGTGTAAGCGTTTTGAGTCCAGATACTCACTAACAATCAGGGTGTAGTTCTCAAATAAATACCTAGAAGTGTAAGAAGTAGTTGCCCTTGTAAAGGCAAAAGAACAAATTAAGCACTCGGTTAAATTCACCTCATACTTCTTAAAGCTTAAAGATTGATTGCCCAACAATAACCCTTTATCATTAGCTTCATCCACAAAGGTCTTCTGTATTGACTTCCAATCCAATCCAGTGCTATGTTTGTTTTCGGGTGAACCATTTATGTGTATGAACTGAACAATCAAGGAATCCTCAAAAGGGACAGGAATCCTCAAAGAAGGAACAGCAAGTACCTGGTAAGCACTCCAAACCAGTGAAGCCAAGTCAGAAAGAATAGACTTTTGAGACTTGGGTCGGCCGTGGATAGACGCCAGTGGATGAAACTCGCCCCTAGGCATAAGACCATCGCCATAGAGTGCTGGACCATACTCCACTGGGCCAGCCCCTAAGTCGATCCAGATGTAACGGTCTTTCCCTGTCCAAACGGTGCCTAAGCACTTGGTAACTTCCGGGGACTGATCACCATGGGTGTAGCTATAAGCATAAGGCTAAATCAAAATAATTGAAACCCAGAGCAAACAAAAAAAAGTAAAATGAATGATATTGAACACTGAAAAAAGAACCGTATTAGAAGAAACTGGAAAAAAAATTATTAAGTTTTCGAGGAAAAAAACAAATGAATGTTTCTAGGTCAAAGAAGACTGATAATGTTCATGAAAAGTGAATAGGTCCGAAAGCAAATACACTGAAAACCATATAAGAAACTCTAAAAATTCCCTTACCTCAATGAGAATAGTTCAGAAGTTCAGAGGTGTACCTTTTTTCACTGTGCTCTTATTTTTTTTGTTACCTGAGAACCTTATTCTCATAAAGGTGCCCAAAATGTTGTTGTCATGAAACAAATGAGCAGAGTGGAGAATTGCCTGCCTAATAGTTGTATATTTAGGCACAAACCTGCACAGGAAGTTAAAACTACATGTGTCCAAAGAGGGTCCCATCACTGAAGACATGATATTCATGTGACCTTCTCTTGGTTCACCTTATTCTTTTTGTTTATTGTTACTAATCTTGTTTTGATTGAATTGAACGATAAAACTGAAACATCATTCACTTTAAAATGAGGCCTCCAACAACCTTCAAGCATTATATGCTTCTCTCTAAAGTGTATTTCTTTTCTAGTGTGAAGAAATAGTTAGGTTTCAACTACTTTATTCATTGAGATATAACATCATTAAGTTGAGCCTCAAATCTCCATCCATATTCTAATGAAGATAGACTAAATTTAAGCGAAGGTGAAAACATAATGTTAAATAAGTTGTGCACATTTTAAACATAAAAGTTCAACCATGAAGGAACAAGGCACAATGTTTGAGAAACCTAATGCAAATGTGCCTTCAGATGTTTAGCTAAAAGCGTGGTCATTATTTTTCAACACATGCCAAAAGGAAGTCTCTCATATATTCAAATCTATCAATCTAAATTATACTCTTCAATTGATTTTTTGAATATCCATAGGACAAAATTGCATTATTCATATCAGCAGCTATAATCTCAAAGTGATATACCACAACAATGAATAAGTTGCACAAATTATTTGCACCTTTGAATTCAGAGTAGAGATAACTTAATGATAGTGAACAACTGCATGTAAAACTTTGCTAAGAAGATGACAGAAGTCTCATGAAGAAGAAAACGAATCCAAACTATCATACACCGATTCCTAAAAATGAGCTGTGGTTACCTGGCTAATGTGTGAAAATTTGTCTTTTGTTAAGTGAAACCTTAAATTAGAGAAATGTGGAGTAGACTAATACACAATGAAGTGAAAAAATATCTAGCTTCTTGATTCATAATGATGAGATATTCTCTAGCTTTGTTGTCAAGAGCCAAACACTGAGTGTGTTTCCTCTTTTGTGCTGTAACTTCTTTTCTGTTTCTTATCAGCTCCATCCATGACAAGGGATTAAGTCAATTTGTGTGATTTTTCATCCTTTTTTAATAGCCAATTAGTTATTTATCATACTATAAATTGCTGCCTTGTGGCTTTATGACAAAAAAAGATCGGTAGACATGTTTACTGAAACAATATCTTTAATAGTTGGTATGAATGTGTATAATGCAAATATCAAAATCAGATTAGATTTTTGTTCTGTCTTTTTATTCCCCTTAAAAAAACACCCTAATCAATTTCAAACAATTAAACAGGAAAAATTTTCAAAGAACCTTCATATAATTCAATTTCAAACAGCAAAATTAGAAACCAAACCAATTCTGGTCAAATACCGTACATGTAAAAATTTTTTTTAATTTTCATTTTTTCAGAAATCGAATCATTTCGAAATCAACAAGCAAATAAAAATTACACGTATGAAGGAAACGAAGAAGAAGATAAGAAGCACAGTACCTGGTCGAGGAAGAAACGCAGCAGTAGAAGAATACACCGGCAACTGAGTACAAGATTGAGGACAATCAATTCAGAAATTTTCTAAAGAGAAAAACAAGAGAGAGAGAGAGAGAGAGAGAGAGAGAGACAAATCGGCATCTTTGGTCGATGAAGAACTGATGAGAAAAAGAAGTATACGGAGTACTATATTGACTCGTGCGGCAGTGTACAGTAACTAAGAGGAAGGTCACAGAGTGGCCTAAGTAAACGGATAAATACACAATGAATAGTGGAGCCGTTAGAAAATAAACGGAAAAACGCCCAAGATAACTCCTTTAGACGCTTATAATATTAGGGAGATATTAGGGAGATTAGGGGATATATATATATATATATATATATAACATAAGAACGAAAATGAATGACACACGCAGATGATAACAACAACAATAATGTCAGAAACCAACAATAAAAAATGCAGAACATAATAAGAGAAGAAACTAACATGCTAAGACCCACACGCTTTCGACAATTCCTTAACCTCCAAACCCTTTATCTATTTATATAATATTTACCCTTTTTCAATGTGGGCTAGAAGTAGTTATCACTGCCACCATTGTAAATATACCTCATTATCCATTCCATCCTTGTTGAAAATTGCATCCATCATGCGCCTCACCATTAGCATAACATGTACACATTTTCTGAGGAAGTTATTATGATGGACCTACATGTAAGCTTATGGTGAGAAATGGGAGAAAATATGATTAAAATGGTGGATATGGCTCACTTTTTTTTATTCTGACAGTTGCTGATAAATTCTACACCTAGATGGGAAAACTTACAGGAACGCGTGCAAGAAATATGTCACGGAGAACGCGTAAAGCACACTCTCCCTGAGAAAAAATAAAGCAAGGCACGTTGAGAAATAACTCAGTAGCAGCAACCTTGAAACTAATAGTAAAACAAAGCAAACCTTCACAACTGGATCAGTGGAATATGAAGATGCCTTGAGCTGCAAAAAAAAGATACAGAAATTTAGAAGACCAAAAAGATCAAAGGCAAAATTATGGCCACAATATCACTCAACCCATTGATTATTAATCTCAACCCATTGATTATTAATCTCAACCCAGAAGACATTTAGACTTTCACATCATGTTTACATAACCAGCCAAAGAAAAGAAAATGGATACGAAAAAGCATTGACCTTGGCATCACATATAATTTTAAGAATATGCACACCCATGTTGGAGCTAAGCTGGAGGTCCTTGGCACGAACTTCAAAGTAGGTTTTGCTCAGCCATACATCCATAAAGACCTACTTGTCACTGAGTAATAGTTTTAAGACTACATTCACCCATCAAGACCACGATGTTGTTTATAATAAGTTGAGTTTTTGTAAGACATTATTAGGACATCACATATTTTTATAATGTATATTGATAAATTTGGGATTGGGTGTGGACAACTGGATTGGGTAATAAGACACTCGGGTTGAACTACATTAAAAGATTGAATCCAATCGATTAATCAGTTTAACTCAAGGGCTTATATACCGGTTTATTTTCTCTTCAAGTTCTGATGTGGGATACTCTTTTAACACTCCCCCTCAAATGGACAATCGGGCCATTTTGAATCTAACTGGTTGACCACTTGCAAATGGACTCTCATCCCTGCGAAACTATGGTGTGATAACCAAGCTGCTCTTCATATTGCATCCAAACAAGTTTTTCACGAAAGAACGAAACATATCGAAGTAGATTGTCACTTTGTTCGGGAGAAAATACAGAAGGGATTGATTTCTACTCGATTTGTGAAGACAGGAGATCAATTAGCAGATTTCCTTACTAAAGCGCTAAATGGCTAGGCTTATGTATTTATGTAACAAGTTGGGCATGATAAATATATATGCTCCAACTTGAGGGGGAGTTTTATTAGTAATAATATTAGTATTTTAGTTAAGTCCTGAGAATATGGTAGGATCTGATTTGGCCATTATTCCATTAATATGGGTGATTTAGGCATTAATATGGGAGATTTAGTTTCCTTATATTAGCACCCTTCTTATGCATGTATATATAGTCATTTTGTATTATGTAATTATGTATTATGAGGAAAACCTCTTATTATCAATCACATGGTATCAGAGACAATGTGCTCTAGGGTTAGGGTTCATTATTTGTAAAAAAAAAGGGCTTCTGCCATTTTGACGCTGTCTCTAAGGGTGCTCGCCTGACGTCACCGCCACCGTGGGTGGAGTCGCACGTTGCAGGAGAACAATTCTGGAGAATCTCTCCTTCGTTGGAGACCTCACACCCCGCCACTGCTGGTCAGATTCACTGTCAAAAATCACTGTCAGGGTCGCCTGAGTCATCTAAGCACCTGTGCATACTCAGTTTGGACATTCAGTGGGTGATTTTTGCTCTGTCTTCCTCTGCCGATCAGGTTTTGTTCAAATTTTAGTCAATTGTTTGTCGAACTGGTGGAACTAAATTCGAAACCAGTAACCTTCATTGATGAGTTTTAATGTTTATTTTTTTGCAATTTATTGAGACTAACCGATAAAACTCATCCATAAAGCTTATTGGTTTCTATTTTAGGTTCCAGCATTAAGACTAATAATGAGACTAATAATGAGAGAGGAGTGACCATTTCAGTTTTGGATTTAGAGCTTCAAACTCAGGGAAAGAGTACGAGAGGAGGGAGGAAGCTTAATTGAGGAGAGAAAGGAGTGTGAATTTACAATTTTATCCACGTTCTTAACAAAAATGTAAACAAAGGACCATTTGTGGAAATGAATCTAATAATTGGTGACTAAATTTGTAATATTTGATATGTAGGAACTAAATATGTAAAACGACCTATAACCGGGGACCTTTTATGGAATTTACTCCTTTCTCAAAATAGGATCATATGTTTTTATTTCCCAATGTAGGACCACTGGTCATTATATATTAGTCATTATTCAACTAAATGTCTAACATTACTTGGACATTATTCTTCTCACTAGTTATTATTAAGTCCTATTTAGGGAATAAAAAAGTTTAAGTCCTACATTGGGAAATGACTTACTCCGTATGTTTTAGTCGGTACAAATTTCACTAAAACATTAATATCTTGCAGTATTTCCAATCAAACCGCACTCCTTGATAAAAACATGAAGCAAAATTTACAAATTTGGAAAATCTTCTTTATTTTAACATGAAGTGGAATGTCCAAAAAAAATTCAAAATTATATACTGCATATGTTGTGTTGTATTTGTTTGGTTTTGTTTTCTTTCTTCAATGTAAATTAAAATGCACTCAGTTTTTTAATATACTATTTAATTGATCAAGTGAAATTGAACAATTATAGCTATTATACGCTATTTGATTTTATTTTTATTACTACCCCGGCCCACTTCTTAAACATTTGGTTTTGACTTCTTAGCGTGAAAAACAAAAAAAGACCACTAATTAAATAAAACTAATGTTTGATGTTGATATAAAAATGATTTTATTAGATTTATTTTTAAAAATATTTTTAAATTATTATTTTATTTAATTAATATATCACATACTCCCTCCAAAAAAAATTTCTCAATTTGACTTTTCCTCATTTTTATTGAAAGTTGACTATATGTGTAATTTGTTATTTGTCTAAAATACTCGTTGCCCTTCATGTCCCACTCCATAGTCTAGCAGCCCACCACCCCTCGCTCCGACCTTTGTCAGCCCCCACCACCGTCCACCACCACTAGCCCCACCTTCGCCTCTGTCCTATTGTCGCCACCGTCAACCCTCCTTTGTCGTCATTTCTATCGCCCTGCCCCAAAATGTTAGATCTAAAAAAAATTGAAAGAAGAAAGGAGAAGAAAAATTTCAGCCCTACCGTCACCATGTCTGAGAATAAAAGAAAAGGGAGGAGAAAGCGTAAGGATGGGAAAAGAGGAGGAGAAAAAAGAAGAAGAAGAAGATACATGAAGAGAGCAGTCCTCAGAGATCTGACAGATCTGAGGGACAAAGAATCAAGAGAAAGAAGAAGAAGATAAAAAAGGTGCGATTTATAGAAAAAGGACGAGAAAAGAGAGAGAGGGAGGGAGGGAGGGAGGAAGAGATGGTTGATGATAAAGACGAGGGATGAAGATTCGAAGAGAATGGAGAAGTACGCAGTAGATAAGAAGAAGAAAAATGGAGTGAATGAATGATATAGAGAAGGGTATTTTTGGAAGAATTGGAAAAAAGGTAGAATGAGAAGATTAATTCCAGACGGAAAAAAGAGTAGAGAGGGAAGATTATTTCAGGATGGAGTGAGTATGTCACACCCCGATCTACATTACTAACATAAGATATTGATAGAGCGATATAACAGGGAAATATTGTAGTTTAACATAAGGTAATGCGATTGTTTGCGTAGAGTATTTTCCGCAGTTATGGCGATAATGATAATAACTACGAGACTATGTTCATGCGTATGAATGAATCTACATAATCTACCTCGGACATATGTGTACTCCAAAAATTATATCCCACATTATACTCCAACTATTTTTATTTTTTTCAAACTCTTTCTATTTCTCGTCCAATTATTCTAAAAACGATATATTGTTGTTGTTGTTATTATTATTACATTTATTATGTTCATAACTATGGTTTATAAATCATTTCATTTTTTTATCTCACTATTTTTATGATAAGAAAATCACCCTATGTAGCACTCTAAGTCACTCAATATTACGCATATAGCACTACTTAATCTTTTATACGAATTTAGCTATTTGTAGTGTCAATATTTTCCAAGCATACACCCTACCTTTTAATATATTTTACTATTTTTAATTAATTTTAATTATTTTATTAAACTTAGCTTATTCACGTAGCCAATCCTCTTCATACGCGCGGCTCTTCCACATTCATGTGTCTCATACGTACGAGAGCATCATCCTACGCCGTTTATCATAGCTCTGCGAGATCCTCCTACACAGTTTACCAATGTATAATGCCTAAACAATTAAGTTCACACGTAATAAATTAAGTTCCATATTTAACGCCCATGTTTGCCAGTGTGTTTTGGTATAATAGATTATTCATTAAATCAGTCATACATTTTTGGGCAGTGTGGAATTCATACATGAAAACAATGTGGAATTCATACATAAAAAGAGCTATACATTTTTTGGACAGTGTGGAATTCATATATGAAAATAGTCATACACTTTTTGAAAGTGTAGAATTTATGCATTAAAACACTGCCACATAAATCAATGGACATTGCACTCCAACATGAAATTAAGGAATACAATAATACATTATCGTAAGATATAACAACATATATCCATTCTACACAGTCACATTAAATACTCACATATAAAAAACTACACTGCCCACTACATAGTTACAAGTGAACAACCACACTGCCCAAAACAATCATACTTTTTGGTAGTGTGTAATGAATATTTGCTGTTTAATTAAAGGACAAAATCGGAAACACAGGTACTGATAGGTAATAACCCATTGATTCCACCCGGTAGGTTCGCAACTATAACACCCCAACCCGCATAACCCGAATAATTAGGTTAGCAAACCGGGTTGCTACTAAATCGGTATCCACATACAATATTTTCCAATAAATTGAAACATTTAATTTAAAATTCAAACAATTCAAAATCATTTAATAATTACATATCAGAGTTAATACAAACAGTGCGGAAGCCTTATAATTAAATCAAACATTAAATCCCTGCATCCGTACATCTCCTCCATCATGCTGCTCTCTGGGATGGATTCCAGAGTCAATCAACCACAACCACCTACGTGTAGCAAATAGGAAAAAAAAGGGCTAAAAGCTCAGCATTGAAGCTAAGTGAGAAATATCTAACAGTTCGAACATACACATAGGCGAATCCACTAATTCATAATTATCACATGATATCATGCACACAACATGCTTGGCAACAATCATACGGCATACAAGATATAACATGCATAATCAACATCATGACAGTTCATAAGATACAACAACATCGGTATATGTATTAGGAACTTTCCTTTTTAATTTACTTTACTTTCCTTATCGTACTTGGCTCTTAACCTATACTAGGTTAAAGCTTAACTGAATTCGACTTTCCTATGGAGTCATGACCTTCCCCTTCGGAACGAAGGTCAAGCTCAAACCAACTCGGGAGTTTCTAGTTGGGTGGGTGAGATCCCTGTCCCCTTCGGAACGACAGTTCTTAGATCCCCGTGTACACGTTTTTACCCGAACAGCCATTGGACCCAGCAGGTACCACATGACTCTAACTAATTATACTTATGGCATACGTTGCCACTATTCCATTCAGGTCATTTCCTAGAGTTCTTCTAGGTGATATATCCAACAATCATTAACCAATACATAACACAACATTCATAAATCCACAATGCATTTAACCAGATATCCAACATACTCAAATAGCAGCCTAACACTGGGTGTAAACACCCATGTTTACCGTCATGCAACACACGGAGTCTCGGAATCAATCCTTGACGAAAACACAGCTCGACAGACCCGGCATCAGGTACCAAACGGTACCTGTCACGATACAGGGTACCGTCCATACGGTACCTGGGTACCGGTCCTACGGTACCTGGGGTACCGTCCAACACATCTGGGCTCTTCCGGTAGGACTGTCACGGTAGCCGACTACCGACTAGGCGGTAGGGCCTACCGTCCATCCCGTATCTAGGTACCGAACGGTCACAGCTACCGACAGAGAGAACGGAATCATATAGAGTGTGACTGTAGCACGGTACCGTCCTGGCAGTACCGCCTACCGTCTGACGCAACAAATTCCGTATTCGTACCTGTTTCATTTTGCAGCATCAAACTAACAGAAATCTCATAACATCAAACACCAATAGGTTCATATTAACATTCTAAACATTATAAACACATTAATTCATCAATCAACGCCTAAATCATGCATACTACCCATTTGATTCAACGACAACTATTCCCGAAACTATAACGAGCAATTAAACAGATAAACCACATAAATCAACCACGATAACAACTATGAACGGAATTTCAAACCTAGATGCATATTCTAGTGTTAGATGTCAACGTACTCACCTCGTTGGTTCGATTCAATTCCTAGGAACATCACCCGGAGCCGGTCACCCGAATTGGTCGTTGAAACTGCCCCTGCTGGCCGGATCGACTTGCTGCCCGAACTCAGTCAATCAAGGACTAGACTTCGCCGGTCGCTGGAGGTCACTCGCCGGAGCACCGCCGCCGTTGAATCGCTGGAATTCGCCGTTGGCTCAAGCTGCTGCCGGAGTTGCCTAAGTCGTCGCTGGAGGGGCCTTCCGATCGTCGGCGCTTCTGCTCGCCGGAGAAGAAGAAGATGCAGAGGAAGAGGAATTGTTCGTCGCTACGTCGCTGCCTAGCTCGATCGAAGAAGAGAGGAGGAACTGTGATTCGGCGTGTTTTGATCGGAGGAGGAGGCGGTCGACGTCTGTGAATAGGTATCTAGCGAGAAACGGAGTATATATATTCTTAGGGTTTTGTGCTCCTTAATTTAAAATAACTTGTCTGAGTAGAAACACACTTTTCGACCCAACTTGCTCCGAATTGAGATCTGTTTGCATCGTTGGATTCGATTCATCGATCCCTACCCAACGATATAACTTTTATAACCAATTCACTAATATTTATAGGTTCCACCTGGTCCGTCTTAATTCTTTTGATTAATTAGTACGGGTCAGTCTTTTACTTTAAATCTTTACAAATAAAATCAAATTAGCCTCGTTACATTGAGACAATTAAAATCTATAAAATATCTTTTAATTCTTTAAAGGTATAGATTGTCGTAAATAAATAATTCTTATTTATTTAATTATTGATAAACTACTGGACCGGTTTCTAGGGCGTTACAGCAACCGACCGAGAGGTACCTTAATCTGACGCCCCATGACTTGGTCAGCCCAAGTAGTTTGACCGGTCATGTATGGGAGGATTCTTAATCAAGAACATGGCTTCGTCTGACAAAGGCATGCATGCTGACCAGTTGGAGACTGACAAGTCGGAAGAACGGAGATGTGCTTGACGTGCTTCTTCATTATTATAAATAGGATTAAAAGCCTCATTTGTTAGGCATGCTTTATTTAATCCACACGGCTTGTACTTTGTAAACAGTCCCAATATCATTAATAACAAAACGGGTTACAGGTGTTCCCACCTACAGCCTTATCGCTTATTCTTACTTAGTATTTGCATGGTTTTACACCATCAAATTGGCGCCACCCGTGGGACCCTTTACAAAAAGCCAAGACAAACAACCAAGAAACAGTTATTTCTCATATTTCCACCCCAGCTGAGAGCGTTACACTGCTCCCGGGGGAAGTACTCTACCCTCACCCATCACACCAATCCCTTCTCCTATAATCACAACCCCAACACCTATCCCATTAACTACCCCAGTAAACTCCATCCCTGGTTTTCCCCCAAACTTCCCTGGGCCCATGGACCCAATGTACTCCCAGGCGCTTCAAAGCTTTGGGCATTTCATGTTCATGTTTCAACAGCCGGGAGGAATACCCCCCTTTATCCCAGGAATGTATCCGCAGCCCTGCCCCAAAGTTCACCTTTCCCAAATATAATAGGACATCCATCACCATTCCAACCGACCAGCGTGATCCGATCGATCATCGCGACAAATCTGGTTAGGGAGATGGATAAGGCCGGCCCATCTTGATCAAGAAGAAGTCGGTCATGAAGGTCTCACACTCAAATCACGCCTGATGGGGACGTATGCTCGGTCAATAGAAAGGATGAGGACTGGGATGTACCGCAAGCCCAGAAAAAAATTAAAGGGCAAGGCCATTCAACCGGAGGGATCAAGGCGTTTGGCCTTCCAAAGGTTGGGACATGAAGGAAGGAATCACAACCAACCGGCCAAGGAACGGCTGGGAATAGAGACCATCCAGGTCAGCGCATTCGACCGGTTGGGAGGAGGCGGCGGACGACCTGGTCGAACCAGGCAGACCGAACCTGGTCCTCAGGACGAGCCCCAGCACAGCCAGGTGCCTCGGGAGGATGAGGAAACAGAAAGTCACCCTAGGCACATTGTTCGAACGCATGTTGAGCAGCCCAAGGATCGAGTGGATCGGGTAGAAGCCGGATTGGAGAAATTACAAAGGCGGGTAGATAGGGATGAAAAGAAGAAGGTTTTGCTGAATGGATCGCCGTTCACTAACCGGGTACATGAGACCCCTTTCCCAAAAAAGGCCAAACTCGAGGTCCCAAAGTTCACTGGCAAGGAGGACCCAGAAATCCACGTCAAAACTCTCCACCAAAGTGGGAGGATGATGGGACTCACCGGGGATGAGAAGTGTTTAGTTTTCTTCCAAACCCTCCGCGGCCGAGCCGCTGGGTGGTTTCACAATCTTCCCTCTGGTGAGATTGACTCCTTTGATGAGTTGGCAGAGGTGTTTCAGGAGAAGTTTAAAGAAAACTGTACCAAGAGGAAAAAATTCACCTACTTGATGAGTACGGCTGGGCAGAGGGAACATGAAGATCTGACCAAGTTCCTGACTTGGTGGAAGGACGAAGTTGACAAGGTTGAGGAAATGGACGATAAAACCGCCATGTCCCTCCTGGTCTCCGGGCTTCGGTCCGGAGAGTTATACAAAGAATTCTGCACGAGGCCCCCTCAATCTTACCCAGAGGCCTACAACACGGCCTGGGACTATGCAGATGCCGAAGCCCAGGTCTTGTCCAAGAGGGAGGCTGAGCAGGGTCCCTGGAGGGGAAGGAATGTGGTGAAAAAGGAAACAAATCTACCCGAAAGGGTAAAAACGGAAGTGTTGGAAGTGAAGGCGGAGAAGACGGAGAAGAAACAAACCGGGGGAAAGTAGTGGACGGAAAAATAATATACATGTAATGTTCAACTTGTGTTTGTTTTATTTTAATTTTGTTTCAGGTTCTTGGCGGTGTTTCTTGGGTTACCTATGTTAGAGAAGTTGATTATATTTTGAGCTTGTTTTCCCCTATTTTATCAAAAAATAAAAAAAAGGAAAATATAAAAAAATGAAAAAAATATTCATTTTCATAACCCCCTCTTTGTGTTGAGTTTAAGTTATAGTATAAGTTCTTCGTTTATAAGTTACTTATAAGTTTTTATATTTATTTAATTATAAACTTTATTATAAGTTTTATACGTCTAATCATATGTGTAATAGTTAGTTTGTTTTATTTAGCTACAATGTGTGTGCAAGCTAATTTGATTTCAAAAGTAAAAACGTTCTCCGTGGGATCGACCCTTACTTTCTCTTGCTATAGTTTTTATTTGAATATATCTTGGGGGTTGCAAAAAGATTTTTATAAATTTTTAATTTGTTTTAAACCGCACGATGGGTCTTCAACAAATTTTGGCACCATTGGTGGGGAAAGTTTCTTATGAAATCACTTCAGTATGCCACTGTGTTCCTTGTTTTTTTTGTTAGTAAGCATGCCGTAGTAGCCTCTTTTCTTGAGTTTTAATCTATTTTACATGCCTATTAGTAGAATTGAGGATATGCATATGAGAGCAAACTGACATCAACAACTTTGTTTGCATTTGTGTTATTTTGTGAGATTGTGGTATCGTTTCTTGGAAAATATACATTTTGAACATTATTTTATGAATTTTTCTTGTTGGTTTTTGTTGATACATGCTATATACGCTGATTTGGATGCACTTCAAGCTAAAATTGCAAGTAAATTGGATTTAAAGTTGCTATTTTTTCAAAAAATCTGCACCTTCTACTTAGCATATGTGCTAATTTTTGTCCCTTGGAGTGCTCCTTTGCTTCAAATATGAAATATAATTGATATATCTTGCTTGAGGACAAAATCTGGAGACTATAATTGATTTCTGTAGTGTATTTTGCGGAGTTACGGCGAGAACGATAATAACTACGAGACTACGTTCACGCATATGAATGATTCTATAAAATCTACGTCGGACATTAGTGTTGGGTAAAGACCTTAGAGTTTGTAGGGGAACGCAATGATCCTAACACCTCAACATGCGGTCAACAGAAGAACGTCACTATCTACTTCTAGCTTTCCCTCCCTTTATGTCTTGTTTTCAAACCTTGATAACACAGAGGTAAATGGCGTGAAGAGGGTATCAAAATGATCTTAATAACGATAGGGATGAAATATACTCACTTACCTAGAGTTAGATTCCCAAACCTCCATTAATGGTGGAAGAATGCTTGAAGAAGGAGAGTAAAAGTTGCAGGATTTTCCATGAAGTGTGAGTAGAGTCTTGGGTCATTTTTATGGGTGAATGGAAAGAGATGTTGAGTTGGATTTATCAAGTCTCCTCACCCCAACATTACCATTCATTACAAGAGAGGAAAGGAGGAAGGTGGTGATGTTGGATGTTAGCTAGACATAAGGGTGATGGAGAATTATCATTGAATGAGCAAAGAACGTGCATGATAAATCCTGATTTGAAGAGAATATTTGCAATTTTGGGATGAAATCCAAGTTACAAAACAAATATTTCATCTATTTGAATTTTGGGTTATTTTCCCAACAGAGTTCGATTTTGAAATCGATCGCATTTCTGGGTTCAAAAAAATAAATGGAACCTAAAGATGTATTCAGAATATTTTTCCTAATATTTTTTTTCTAGGCATTTGGGGCCCACACGCTCAAATCTAGGCATTTTATTACTTAAAACTTTTAGACTTCTTTTCGTGGCATTATAGAATAACTTTTATTTAATTATAGGTCAAAAATAGACAAATACACAGGGACGGTTTTATAAAAAAAATACTCCCTCCGTGTGGAAATAATCTCCCCACTCTACCTTTTTTTTCTGTCGAGAATTAATCTTTTCATTCTACTTTTTTTTTTCAATTCTTCCAAAAATACCCTTCTCTCTATCAACCACTCTTTTTTTCTTCCCCTTATCTACTCCGTACTCCTCCATTCTCTCCCAATCTTCATCCTTCGTTCTCATCATTATCATCTTCTCTCCCTCTCTCCCTCTCTCATTTCTCGTCCTTTTTCTCTAGATCAGATCTACTCCTTCACTCTCTTCTTATTTTTCATAATCTTCTTCTTTCTCTTGATTCTTTGTCTATTAGATCTATCAAATCTCCGACGGCTAATCTCTTTATGTATCTTCTTCTTCTTCTTCTTCTTCTTATTTTTGTTCTCCTCTTTCCCCAGCCTTATTCTTTCTCTTCCCTTTTTTATTCTCAAACATGGCGACAGTAGGGCTGAGATTTTTCTTCTCCTTTCTTGTTTCAATTTTTTAGATCTAAGATTTTGGGGCTGGGCGATGGGGATGACGATGAAGGAGGGGCTAGTGGTGGTGCACGGTGGTGGGGGCTTACAAAGGTCAGAGCAAGGGGTGGCGGGCTGCTAGACTAAGGTGTGGGACATGAAGGGAAAGGGGTATTTTGGATAAATTACACATATAGTAAACTTCCAAGAAAAATGAGGAAAAGTCAAATTGGAGAGTTCTATTCCAAGAAAAATGAGGAAAGGTCAAATTGCAAGTTTTTCTAGAATCATTCTTAGACGACTTTGTCTGGAATGTATGTTTCATAAATTACACTTCGTTGTGTACAAGCTGGAACGAATTGTTTTTAGGTTTGACGTTTTTAGATAACGGTATTTTGGAGAATGACTATAATCGTCGTCATAATTCTAGGTTTTCTAAATAAATACGTAATTATACTTTCAAAACTTGAACGTAACTCTCATTAGCGATCCTTAATGGAGGTTCTCTGACTAACATAATATCAATAAGCTGATTAAAGCTTGTTTGTAATAGTTAACAAATATATCACACTTATGTATAACAATAAGATATCTTTTTATCACATTGTAATGATTGGATGAACGTTTTGATAACACTTGCTTTTTTGTCACTGTTTGCCTTATCAAGATGATATGTAGTTATTCTTGAATACTGATTTTTCTGTTTGATGATTCCAGAATTGCCTTGGAATTTTAGACTTGCTCAATAATTATGAAAGAGCTTCGTGCTCGAAAATTATAATATTAGTGTATTTGTCATATCACTAATGTTCTTACTTCACACAACAGTTGCATTACTTATTACCAAAAACATGATAAGTTATATACGTAGTCATATTCTAATATGTTTGTGACTCTACGACACATGCGTGGTTTCTCTTGGCGCTCCGCACAATTCACTTGGGTGTGGATCACATTCACCTTCAGTGTGGTCATATTCGCCACACAAGTGACAACATTTCCTTTTCCTCGTTCTTGTATATGGGTCGATTTGCATATTCTGTTTACGTTGAGTAGATGGTCCTACTTCTAATTCTTTCCCCTTTCGCGAGGGTTGTCTTGGTTGACCCTCTTGATTCAGATCGTTCTGCTAATCGTACTAAGGCTCGAAACTTCATCGATGATGACACATTCATTGTTCGTCGAATGTGTGGATTTAGCCCAACTAAGAATCTCCCACTAAGTTGTTCTTCACTTATTGCTCTCTCTCGCAGGTAGAAAACTACGTTCAGTAGGATTTCCGCAAATTCCCTCACAGTGGATTCACCTTGTGTTGTTGATGAGAATACGATTTCTGCACGATCACGATCAACTCGCGAAAAGTGAGAAGAAATAAATTCTTGTACAAACATTGGCCATGTTGGTTGGCCTTCAAGCTTTTTATTTGTTCGTTCCCACCATATACGAGTGTGTCCGGCTAACAGCTCTTCAGCAACACGAAGTTGAAATCTCTCAGGCATCATCAAGTTATGAAAAACATTGATGATTTGCTTGAGCGAGGCAAGTTCTCCGGTTACATCAAGATTTCCATCAGAAACATGACATCCCTTGTTGATAACATCAACTAAAATCTTTACATAGTCAGAGTTTGATGGGTCGATGTTACCTGAAGGTAAAGGATTTTCTCGAGTTGTTGGAGCTGGTGTTGGCGTTATTCGTGGAGGGTTTGGAGTTCGTGTTACCCTCACAGTTGGTATTCGATATGTTGTCGTGATTTGAGGTTGCATGGGCGCATTGATGGTAAGCCATATACATATACATATATATATATACGTCCACTAAAATGTATAATAATATTTATGATATGGCACATTATACCATATGGTGAATTTGATGATTCTTGATGATAAACATTTAATGATAATTACATGATGGCACATTTAATCAATTTGATTGTTCTTGATGATGATTACATGACACCTATGTAATCAATATAATTGTTCTCGATGATAATTACATGACACCTATGTAATCAATATAATTGTTCTTGATGATAATTACATGAAACCTATGTAATCAATATAATTGTACTTGATGATGATAACATGATGCATGAACTAACGTGCAAGGACGACCCTTGTGCTATGAGATTTGCCCAAGTTGTACGATGAACTCACGCCACCTTAGTCTCATGAATGAGGTGAGACTAGAAACAATATGAGGGTGATACTCGAAAGCCTGAATACCATGTACGTACAATAAGCCCGAACGTGTGATGTCGGACTACTAAGTCCCGCACAATCACGCTATAAGAGACGCACGAGGCATAATCTCTTACGCATGCATATGATGTGGTATGCTTCAATATGAATGATGAAATGAATGATATGATATGAACAATTTGTAAACAATATGAATATATAATCATGCATTAGTTTATTTGGATGAAACATGATTAAAATATCATTTAATTAAGCTACGGGGCTCGAAACGGTCAACGGTTTGACACGGCGGTCGACCGTGCTTGAATTTGTCTCGTCGGCATCTAGGTTACTGTGACGGTTGACCGTGGTTGACCGGAGGTCGACCGTTGTTGACGGCTTAAGTGAGGCGGCGTTCTGCTAGGCTGGCGACGGTTGACCGTTTGACGGCGGCGGTCGACCGTTCTGCTGACAATTGGGGTTCGTTTCGAAGTTTAACATGACAGTCGACCGGTTGCGTCGATCGTTTGGGTCTGCGAATCTTATTCTTTATATTTTGAGTGTCTAAAATACTTCTTTAAGTCTTTTAAACACCTTTGATTAACATATACATGCTGTTGGGTTGATTTCCAATGTTTATACTTACTTATGTGTACATTAACTTTTGGATTTGGTGTATTTTGATCTCAACATATAGATGACTTATATATGTATCACATATATATTTTTGGGATGATTTCAACATATGGATTAATATATATGTTCATGTACGTATGTGATGAATTATTTGACAAGTCTAACGCAAGGGTACAGACCTGGAAGTCATCGGCCGAAACCTTACGGACGAGCGGTAGTGAAAACAACATCGAAATTCACCAACTTTGTCATTCCCATCACAATTGGACAACCTGCTGTATTTTTGGCATATCTCCATCGTTTCTTCACGGAATTGCAAACCGTTTGATTCTGTGGATTTCTACGATGTAAGGCTATAACTTTTGTGAAGAAACCATATGAAAATATTGAACATAAACCGCCCTAACATAGCTTAGAAGTGGATGGATATGTGCTGCCAGGATATCGGTATTTCGATGAACAACGATTCCTACAATCAACTCATCAATTTCAATATTCCAACGTCAAACCTTCTCTATGATATCTCCCGTAAGTTTCAAATAATCGTTAGAGAGTTTATGGTAAGTATTTGGAATGAAATAATATGAATTTGGTGAAGAAACATATGCCAACCCGAGGAGCTCGCCACCACTGGCGCAGTCCCGGTATGTTGGCCATATCTCCTTCGTTACTTAACGAAATTGCAAATCGTTTGTTGGGCTGGATTCGAATCATTCGAGGCTACAACTTTGGTGTAGAAAGTTTTTCGAGATAATGAATGGAAATTTCAGTTTTTACCTAGAAGTGGGCTGCTGCGTTTGGTTTCAGGATTTTGGACACTTGAATGGTTTCCTTCTTGGTTTTTGTTCTTCCTTAGCATACAACCATGGAGTATTTCTGTTTTTTTCTTCCTTCCTTGAACTGCCGACAGTGATAGAATGGAGAGGGAGGAATGGATGAATGATGGTGGATGATGGTGAAGATTATGATGATGGTGGTGGTGGAGTATTATATGAAAAGTAAGGATTTAAGAGCACTATCTAAATAATATCTAAATTGAATAAAATATGTTGACGTACATGAACTGAACAATATCAAAATTGTGAGTGTCTGAATTGAACACTATGTACATAATATCAAATGATTTGATTATGAATTTATATTCAGTTTATGTGGATGTTCGACACTTTAGATATGCTTACTCAGCTTCAACGCTAAGCGTGTTGTATGTTTTATTTGTGGCAGATGCGGCGAGATTGTCGGGATGGATGTGTCAAGTCTTGAATGATTTATTATGATATGAAAATATTTAAATTCGATTCCGGAATATTGTTGAATACTTTGTATTGTATATGTTATGAAAAATATTGTGATAAATAAAAGTGTTTGAAATGTTTTAAATTTCTACGATTACCAAGTTAATACTTTAGTCCGAAAGAGGCTGCAAGCCTTAACGAATTAGGGTGTTACAGAATATAAGGAAGATCAAATGTGGGCGGTTTCGGCCTTATCACATTTGGATAATAAATTTACAATACTACTATGCCATTCTTTAGGTTAAGAAAATAGACTTTTCGTATTAAGCTCGGAAGTAGTATAAGTCTTACCCAACTTACTCAATTTGTTGACAATCTCGTTGAACCTCTTGTTCATGTCTTGGATTGTCTCACATGACCCTTTCTTGAAGGATTCACATTCGGAGTTTCCTATGGCAATCATCATTTGCTTTGTTGAGACGTCCCCTTCGTGAGTTGCTTCTAATACATCCCATACTTCCTTGGCCGTTTTGAGCGTACTCACTCTTGCAAATTCATCGGGGCCAAGGGAGCAATGAAGGATGTTCACCGCCTTTGCATTTATGGACAATATTCTTATGTGCTCCGAGAATAATCTTGCAAAATCACCATTTCTCGGTACAAATTGCCCTTAAAGTACATTCAACCATAAATCAAAATCAATTGATTGAAAGAAGTATTCCATCCGCATTTTCCAATGAGAATAGTTTTGGCCAATGAAAAACGGAGGCCGGTGAATGCTTTGTCGTAGATGCGGTTAAGCACCATTAACTGCGAAACCGCTCGGATACCACTTGTTAGTCATTGTGCCCACGCCCTAGAGGGGGGGGGGGTGAATATGGCGTTTGAAAAATTTTCGGAGTTTAATAAAAACGATATTGGCAAATGCGGAAGCGATATATGAAACGCAGAATTAAAAGCGTAAATAAAATGCACACCGATTTTATACTGGTTCGGGAAACCCCTACTCCAGTACCTTAACGCTCCTCCTTAAGGATTTCCGAATCCAATAAGTCCCGGTCTCTCGAACTCCGTCAAAGCACCGCACTAGTTTGGCAAACAACCCTTTCCAATAGGGCTGTGCATCAGTCTAAACTCGGACCAACCCGGACAAGACCGGGACCCGACCGGGACCAAATAAGCCAAAATTAGTGGATCATGGACCGGACCTACAAAGTATAAGACCGGATCGGGACCGGATCGGAAAAAATCAAACCGGTCCGGACCGGCCCGAATAAGGATCGAATAAGGGGGGACTATGTTAAAAAATTAAATCATTGAAGATTTGCACTTGGCATAATAGCAGTGTTTCTTTAAAAATGAATAAAATTGAGAAAAACAACATACTCCATTACTCCGATAAGCTAAAACATGAGTCAGAATAAGCTTAAAAGGTTATGAATGTCACTCGGATGTTTCGATTTAACTCACCAAACCTTCTATCATGCTCAAATTCATAGTAATAGACTAATAGCGCATAGTACTGAATCAGTTTGGTTGCAAATCCAATAGATCATAGACTTAAAAATTAAAATCTGATAAATACAAACATGAACAATTTTCTATCTTAAAAGTCCTTTTGGTAAATGTTTACCCCAAAAATTGAGCAAAAATTGAAACAAATAATATCATACTGAATAGTCAATACTCAATATCATCCATGACTTGGAATTGGGGTGGGTAGTGGACTTTGGAAGTGTATAAGAAAGTTGGTACTGGACTGTGTATATTGGCTATGGTAACCTAAGTAAAGCCCATAATCCATATAGTAAAATATAAAATATAAAACCAAATAACGATCCACGGGTCGGTCCACCGGTCTCACCGGGTTTGGACTGGACCGGACCGGAACCCGAATAAGAAAAAATTATGGACCGGAGACCGGACCGAATAGGGACTGGTCCGGACCGGTGCGGTCTGATTTTTGTCGGTCTTCGGGTCGGTCTGGGTTTGGACCGGATAATGCACAACCCTACTTGCCAATAAGGTTCAGTCTGAGGTTTCACAATGGCTATCTTGAATCGTTTACAATGAAGATTTCATGGCTATCTTCAACCATTCCCCCAAAGAATTTACAAGGTGGGTCTCCTCGCACTAAGAAATGGCATTTTTCCCAACTCAAAGCCAGGTGGGTCTCCTTGGACCTCTATGACACTTTACCAAGTTTCCGAGACATTATTCAAATGATTCCTCAATGATGGAGAAATCACCCATGAAGACTTACATGAAATCGCCAATAAATTTCTCGAAGATAGCGATCATGCATCTCATGAAGGTTGCAGGGGCATTACACAAGCCAAAGGACATCCGACGAAAAGCGAAAGTTTCAAATGGACATGTGAAGGTGGTCCTTTCTTTGTCCTCGAGGTTAACATGTATCTGAAAATAACCACTCATTCCATCGAGGAAATAGTAATAAGCATGCCCAATTAGTCTCTCAATCAACTGGTCAATAAATGGAAGGGGGAAGTGATCTTTCTGAGTGGCATCATTCAATTTGCGATAATCTATCACCATTCTCCACTTGGTGACCGTTCGACTTGGTACTAGGTCACCCTTCTCATTTTTCACAACAGTCATTCCTCCCTTCTTCGGGACAACATGAATAGGACTAATCGAGCGACTATCAAAGATTGGGTTTATAATACCCGCGTATAATAATCAGAGGATTTCCTTCTGTAACACCTCCATTAGTTTTGGGTTAAGCCTTCGTTGTGTTTGAACAACAGGCTTGAACCCTTATTCGATTGCAATCTTGTGGGTGCAAAAGGCCGGGCTGACTCTTTTAAAATCCTCCAACTTCCAATCAATTGCTTTCTTGTGCCGTCAGAGAACTGTCAATAGTTCGGCCTTTTGATCCACGATCAACTCAGATGCGATAACGACCAGGCACTTGCCCTCGTCATCCAGAAATGCATACTCCAAATGTTTGGGATGTGGCTTCAGTTTTAGGGTGTCAGATCCCTTAGATTGATCATTCTTTGTTTCCACTTCCCGAACATCCTCACACTTATCGTTTTCATTCTCTTCCTCCTTCAATACTGCCTCTAGACCGAGAAGCGTCTCGACAGACCCTTTATCTTTCAAAATTTTAACAGAATGACAAAATTCAGTAGGGTCTGGAGAATTGTTCATCAAGTCCGTCAGTTTAAAGGTACATTCATCCTCTCTAACTTTCAAGGTAATTTTCCCTTTGTGTACATTAATCAGGGCCTTAGCAGTTTCTAAAAATGGTCGGCCACAAGATCAAAGGCATTTCAAAATCCTCTTCCATGTCAAGGATTACAAAATCAGCTAGGAGTGTGAATTTATCAACCTTCACGTACACGTCTTCAACTATTCCCGAGGGTAACAGACAGAACTATCTGCGAGTTGAAAACATGTTCGAGATGGTTTTAGTTCAGAAATTCCTAACTGTTCCATAATCGATGTGGGCATCAGATTAATGCTCGCACCTAAGTCTACTAGTGCATGTTTAAAATGAATGTCTTTAATAGAACAAGGGATAGAGAATCTACCTGGATCCTTGCATTTTTAAGGCATTTGTTGGAGCAACAACGTGGAATAGCTCGCGTTAAGATTGATCACTGGGAGTTCTTCCCAGTTCCTCTTATGTGTGACCAAGTCTTTCAAGAACTTGGCGTACTTTGGCATCTCTGTCAAGACATCCATCAATGGCAGTTTGACCTCAGTTTGGCCCATGATGTCTAAGAACTTCTTGAAGGCTTTTTCATCTGTGTTTTTCTTTACCCTTGATGGAAAGGGTATAGACAACTTCTTCCGTGGGAGATCTCCGTTTGGATGTTGGGACTGGGAAGGTTCCTTGCCTTCCTTTCCTCATCCTTCTCTTCTTTGTATTTCTTCTTTTCAATTGGCTGACTGTCTGGTTCAGCCACAAAATCTTTCAGAATTGGTTTAGAGCTCTGGCCGATGCCTTGAATTTCTTTCCCACTTCGTAAGGTAATAGCCTTGAGGTGTTCTCGTGGGTTGTTTTCAGTTTTGGCAGGCAGAGTTCTTGGAGGTCAGATCGTCATTTGTTCCATAAGCTGCCGGAACAAATCTTGGTTAGCCTTTTGGCTTTCTCGCATTCACTCCTCCAATATTTGGATTCTTTCATCATTTTTCTTATCTCTTTCCTCCATCATTCTCTTCATCTAGACCGTGCGATCCTCAGCTTGTCTTTGGTGTGGGGGAACATAGGCTTGAGTGTTTCCCCCTTAGTTGAAGCCAGGACCTCTCTGATTCCAATTATTGTTGTTGTTCCAGCCTCCTTTTCTGAAATCGTCCCTCGGACGATTATTTCTTTGAAAATTATTGTTGTTGTGCTCTCTCGGAGGATCATCGCGCTAGTGGGCTGGTTGGTTTTGGTTCGAGGCCCATGGTCCTTCTCCCTTGTTTGCGTACTGAGCCAAATTATTTGCTTCTCTGGGCTTTTCTTTAATCAGGCTTTCATAGTAAGGGCACCGGGATGTCGAGTGTGCACCTGTACATGATTCACAAGACAGAACAAGTTCGTTTTGGTGTGAGCTTGAAGTGGCTTGATAGTAATTATCAGCCTGAGCAACTGACTCATATTGTTTGTTTGTTCGGGAGCTTGCACTGAACTGATCTTAGATAGTTCGTTTGATCAAACTTTCCATGCTCGCTTTTAGTGCCGTCAAGGAATCCACTTCGTACATGCTAGCCTTCTGTTGTGGAGCTCGGTCTTCATACCAGTATTTAGTGTTTGAAGTTAGTCTCTCCACTAGTTCCTAAATTTCTTCTGGCGTCATATCTAGGAAAGAACCGACCTTTGAAGAGTGGTCAAGTTCTTTCTTTGATGGCACCAAAAGTCCTTGATAGAAATGGAACATCAGGCTATCATCATCAATCAGAGCAGGTGGACATTTGATTTTCAAGTCCTTGAACCTTTCCCTTGCCTCACTTAAAGATTCGGTCGAATCTTGAGTCAAATTCTGGATTGACCATTTGATCTTGGCGATGGTGGATGGTGGGAAATATTCACGCATGAAGGCTTGGTGTAGTGCTTCCCATGTTTTGAAATGGCTCTTTGGGAACGTATTCAACCATGGTGCTGCCCTATCTCGAAGAGAGAAAGGAAAGAGCGATAGTTTGATACCATCGGAGGTCACTCCGTTCATCTTCAGCGTCTGACAAGTTTGAGAGAACCATAACATGTGGGCCCTTGGATCTTCCCCTTTCATACCTCTGAATTGATTATTCGAGACCACTTGGATCATCGCAGGTTTGATCTTGAATGTGTGAGCGTTAGTACTCAGGAGTCGGTCTTCTTCAATGTAAGCGGGGCTCATGGCTTGGAGCACAATTCGCCTACGTATGTTATTCTCTTCCATATTGGGTTGGTCAACCTCTATTTTTTCTTATCTCTTAGAATCCTCTTCGGGTGAATTTTTCGAAGTATTTTGTCGGAGAATTCTTTTAGGATTTTCAGTAAACGGAGCAAAACTACCCCCACTAGTTGAGCGGGTTTGCATGTAGTTTTGCTAAAGTATGTAAAAGATGCTAGAAAATCGACCTAACCAATTTTCTACTAGGCTAACTATAGAAATTTATAACAGAAAAATTAAATTATGCACCAATCCCCGGCAACGGCGCCATTTGACGAAAGAGTTTTAGCGGTAGTAAATTTTACTCTAAAAGAGCTCCATTTATTCCCGTGTTGTATTCACGTGGATTGCGTAAAAATACATTTTCTATTAAAGTCTAGCTAGGCAAAGTATACTCCTGGAAGACCGACCATATGTTGCCGGTGGCCAAGGACAAGATCCGAGAGCAGTTGGCCAAAAAAAGGAGATGCCGCTCGTCCTTGCGAACCAAACAAAAGAGATGGCAAAGCTATCCAACCTTGATGGGGAGGTGGATAGGGAGAAGAAGGAGCTACAAGCGGAGAACACCCGGCTGATGGAGGAGAACAACCGGGTTATGGAAGACAACTGCGAGCTCAGGAGGTCGTTGGAGCAGAAGAAGGCCAACCTCCCGGTTGAGGCCGTAGCATGGGCGAGAGAGCATCAGGTTGAACTTGCTAATGAGCTTCTCTGCTCCCCCGAGGCAACAATGAACATCTTCACGACCCTGTACAAGAAGCCAGAGGGAAGGAAGATGATCACGGCTATGGGCTCTTATGGCTTCATGGTTGGCCAGAAGCAGGAATGGGCCGCCACCCATCATGTTCTCTTAACCCGGGATCCCGACTTCTTCCCAGAAGCCTATGACCTCCCACCAGTGCCTGAAGATGAACTGGCTCCCCCTTTTCCTCTATCATGAATTCTTGTTTTATGAACTCTTTATTTCCGCCTGGGTATGCCTAGTGGTAATTAATGATGTACTTGTAACATTAACTCTGAATTTGTTACTCGATACTTTTGCTTGCTTTCATATTATATTACTTTATTTTGTTTATATGAGTTGTTAGGTAGGTGTTTACACTCTGTCTTTATTTTTCTTTATCTTGAATGATTTCCTTCTTACTTGATCGTAATTACTTTCCCATTCAATATGTTATATATTTCTTCACTGCATCACCTTCTCCAAGTTTTTAACATAGCTGGAACTGACTGACCTTAGAAAATTTTGCTTGCTCTTTTTAGATGCCCGGTCATGGATGATTTGTTGGACTTCAAGGCTTTAATATTGGACTTACCTGGCCTAACTTCAAAACTTTGACCCGATCTAGATATCTCCCTTTGTGATCGCGGAGGTTTATCCTCCTACCAGGGTATTCTTTTTTTATGCTTAGGTTGTAAGTGGGCACACGTGTTACCTAGTAGCAATACGGGAATGTTTCTAGCGTGACTAGGTTAAGATTAGAGATTTTGACCATGTCGAATGGTTTTGAGTCCTCTCTAAGGCCCAATTGCACCCTTCTTCCAGAGCCCTCTTTTCAGGGTGATTAAGTCTTTTGTGGCCCTTTACTACTTGCCATCCCGAGACAACGGCCTTGGCTCGTTGACCATTCAAATCTTCTATGAGAAGGGGGATACTGACGGATCGTTTTAAGAACCACTGCAATGAGCAGTCCTTTTTCATTTTTCTTGGGCATCTTTTTTGTTTTATCACTAACTCAACCGTTTTAGCGTGCTCTCCCTTCCTGGCTGGATTTCACGAGACCGTGTGAGTATGGTTTCGAACCTTCTTCCAGGTCTAGCCTGATTGTAGGCGTACCCCTTATCCGGGGCCCCTCTTCTAGGTTTACATATTTTTTTATTATACTAAGCAATACTGGTGTTGTAAGCAGCGTGCCAGGTCTGGGCCCACGTCTCAGTTTTTCATTGTGAGTGAGTCTGGGTTAGGTTCGACCTACCCGCTCACCTTGATCGAGTGACTTTCGGTAGATGTGAAAATATCTTTGTTATTAAATAGGTATTTCCAAGCACTACATTCACTTGTAAAATTTCCTCAGGTGGTGCGAGTTCCAGCACCTTTTGATCATTCTTCCTTCTAGCGTCTCTAACTTGTAGGTGCCTGGACGTATCACCGCACTGACCTGATACGGTCCTTCCCAATTTTTTTCCAGCTTTCCCTCGTCGCCTGGCTGCTAGCTTCCTTGCGCTGGAGAACCTCATCACCGAACTCGAAGTATTAGGGAACGACTTTGTTATCAAGGTACTTCTTAACCTACAGCTAGTACCCGCTAATCTTGACTTTGATACCCATCTTCCGCTCTGCTATAAAGGCCTTTATAACGACTTTGTTATAAAGGCCGCTATGATATCCACCCCGAATCAAGCAAATAAAGGGGATAACATTTGGCACAAGGTGGTAGTGGGTTTCCGACCTACTCAGATGCTTATAGAACAGTTGACATCTCCGACACTTCTGTGTATACTTCTCGCAGTCTTTCACGATTGTAATGCCTGAGACCCGGTCTATTAGAATTGATTAATTTAATTAAATAATTACTAACTCGAACTGGGGTTAGGAAAAATAATGTCTTCAGAAAAATTATTTAATCATGTCATAGTATTCTTCTTGACTGTTTGATTCTAGAAATGCAAACAGATCTTGATTCGGACCCGTTTGGGGGAAAAACCACGTAACGTTCATGTCAAATTTTATACAACAGAATGGAAATTAGGGAGCTGAGGTAACTCCCTAATTAAAACACCACGCCACCCACACCTCCCCATTCATTTCCCAACTTTAATTCTCTCATTATTCACCATTAACTCCTTTATTATAAAACTCCTTCTTCCCTTCACCTCCTTCACCATTTGTAACCCCCCAAGCATTCACACACTCAACTCCCTTCTCCCTTATCCTGTTTGGCCAAGCAGCAGCAGCCCAGGGAGATGGTTCTGGCCAGTAGACAAGGAGGAAGAAAACAAGGCGGTGTCCATGAGAAACCGTTCGTCGTTTGTCGTTCGTCAATGTCATCCGTTCGTTCATCCCGTACCTTCCGTCGTTATATTCATAGGATTACCTGGCTAAACCTACGTGTGTCCGCATTATCATGGTTTTTTATTGTTTAGACCTTTCGATTACGAACTAGCTTGTTAATATAAACGTTTTGAAACCCCATAATTTCATAGATTACTTCACATGGAAATATAAACGTTCATTTCAAAAAACCTTCCAACGTATTGATTATAATTAAATGGACAAAATGAAAATCCGCGTGCCTTGATAATTGATTGACAGGAAATAAGTATGCGTTGAACACAACTTTATTTTCAAGCAATGCATCATATCATCATGTATATCCTAGACGCATGTTTTTGGATCATGGCATACTTTGCATACCGCGACAAGAGTGAAAGTCGGTTTGCACCCTAAGAGGGGGGTGAATTAGGGTGTTTGCAATTTTTTCATAAAAACAAAAATTAAAACTTAAGCGCAAAGTTATAGCAGAAAAGGAGCAAGAAAAAATATTAAAGAGAAAAGTACGACACAATTGATTTTATACTGGTTCGGGAACTCCCTACTACAGTACCTCGAGGCTTCTCCTCAAGGATTTAACCTCCACTAACTTGTTTGGCTTCACTAAGAAGATCCAAATGAGATTTGGCAAACAACCCTTGCCAATAAGCAACGAGATTCTATACCGCCTATCTCGACCGTTTACAACCGAAGTTTTAGAGGCAATCTGCAACCTTACAAAGTGGATTTAAAGGCTATCCACACCTTTTACAAAATAATGAAAAGAGTTTGTTGCTTCTCTTCCAAAGTAATATATAATGTGATTGGGTAGGAGAAGAACACGATATAAAAACAACAACAATTGCCTATAAGCAAGATAAGAAGATGAAACACAAAAGCCCTTGGTGTGTGTGTTGAAAATATAAATATCAAAGCTTTAAATTCAGAAGAGAAGAAAAAATAAGGAACTTTAAAGCTTAGAACACACAAATGATCAAGAATGAGATTATAGAATGTAATGTATGTTGAAGGGTGTTATTTTTTGTGTTTGGGAGAGGCTTAGGAGGTGTATTTATAGTTTTTAGGAAGTTTAAAATGGGTTTGAACTGTTAAAGAGAGTGTTGGGAGACAAATTAGGTTGATTGGGATTAATTAAATCAATCAGGAAGAGTAACCAACAACTCCGGTACCTGTAACGGTANGTGTGTTGAAAATATAAATATCAAAGCTTTAAATTCAGAAGAGAAGAAAAAATAAGGAACTTTAAAGCTTAGAACACACAAATGATCAAGAATGAGATTATAGAATGTAATGTATGTTGAAGGGTGTTATTTTTTGTGTTTGGGAGAGGCTTAGGAGGTGTATTTATAGTTTTTAGGAAGTTTAAAATGGGTTTGAACTGTTAAAGAGAGTGTTGGGAGACAAATTAGGTTGATTGGGATTAATTAAATCAATCAGGAAGAGTAACCAACAACTCCGGTACCTGTAACGGTATTCAGGTACCATAACGGTAGAGGGTATCGTTACTGATGGTATAGGGTACCGTGACAGGTCCCGTTTGGAGGTTCAAACTTGAGTCTCCTAAGCCTCAGGCGGTACCTAGGTACCGTTATAAAGGTAGGGGGTACCGCCACAGTTCATTTTGGGCTAAGCTAGATTTGAACCGGTCGGTACCTACCAAGGTCTATGGTAGGGGGTACCGCCTTAGTTCATTCCGGGCTGAGCCAAGGTTCTAACGGTCGGTACCTACCTAGGGTTATGGTAGGGGGTACCTCTATAGTGGGTTCCGGGCTGAGCCAAGGTTCTAACGGTCGAGACCTATTCAGGCTTACGGTAAGGGGTACCGTTTGAGTCCCTTAGAGACTTAGCAAAATTTGGCCGGCGGTACCTACTTGTTGTACCGATAAGTCTAACGGTAGCTAGGTACCGTTAGCACGGTATGGGGTACCGTTTGGTCTGGTTCTAACCCAAAATTGATTTCATTCCCGATTTTAAAAAATGACCCAATCAAAGCAATATTTTGGACCTTTTGGAAAATGTTTTTAAGTGCAAGGGCATAAGTGTAACATCATTTTGTCAAGCTCTTACATTTTTCAAATCTAAACTTGAGTCAATCAATTCTTGGTGAAGTTAACCAAGTTAGGAGAGGTTCGGGTGTCTCGTTTTAAGCCTGAAAAAAGGTTAGTACTTTGGAAGACTTATTTGGTACGTCAAAACGTGGTGAGTTTCGGCATTCAAGGCCAACAATCTCCCCTTTTTTGATGTTGACAAATAAGGCTTTCAAAACATGATAAACAATGTATATGCACACAAATATGTTGAGTTGAAACCAATTTGAAATACTCCCCCTGAGTTCATGCATTAAAGGAAACAAACTCCCCCTGAAAATATGCATTTTTAAAAAGCCAACTTCTTCTCCCCCTTTTGGCAACATTCAAAAAAAATGGGGAGGATATGCAAGGGATGCAAGTAATAAATAACCAATCAAAGAAAGGAGCAACATTCAACAATGTCTCAAAGAAGATTAATTAACAACCATAATAGCAATATTCAACCCAACATCAATTTTTTTTACATAACCATTAATCAAGGACGTAGAAAAAACTGAGTTTTAACATAAGCATAAAAAATATTAAAGTGTTTGATCATTTTTTGCTTTTGCCCAAAGCTTGCTTTCCACGGAGAGAGGAACGATCACTGTTTGCTTTGGATCAGGTTTCGGCTTCCTCCAATCTAGTGAGGCGGGCATCGAAGCTATCCATCCGTTCATGCAAACGCTTGAGGGGATTCACCACTTTCTTTTTGATGAAGTCCTTGAGCTTGTTGAATGACTCTTTGATGGTGGAGTTCTCCGATGAATCTTGGGTGGAGGAGGTACCTCTAGCCGTTGTCCTTGAGCGTTTGAGTCGGGTTGTTGGTGGATCATTTTCCGGTTTGTTTTCGTCTCCTTGAGGATTTCTGGAGCTTGACCCACGGTGTGGTACGGAGGATGTAGAGCGTCGGGGTCCAAAGCGGGCACGGGTGGCATCATCTAGGCGCTCAAATTCTCACTTCATATAGTATGTGTCTCCTATCTTCACAAGGCCGGAATACCCAAGGCATTCGACTTCAAGATATCGAATCCGAGAGGGGCTTAGCTCAAGAATCCCGTGTCTTGCAAAAATGTGAGTGAGAAGCATCCCATAGGGACGATTGGGGTTGCCCGATGCTTCGAGCAAGTGTTGGTTGATGAAGTGGGGAAGACTTATGCGGTGGAGAGTGAGAATATAGTAGAGGAGAGTGCATTCCATCATTCCAACAAGTTTGTCTTTATTGACGATGGGAAATTAGTTTTCTCGAATGATTTTTAGAAGAATGATAATATTTGCTCTTAGGCATTAGACTTCCGGACGGTGTAAGGGTGTATGCCCAGCTTCTGGATTGGGGGTTAGAAACGTGAGGCACTCTTCAACGGAGAAGGAGTCGAATTCGGCCATCCATTCCTTCTTGGTATAGGTTGTTAGACCTTCAAGAGGGAGACGGAACCAATCGGCGAGGTGTTGAACGGAGATGCTAACACCAACACCCGCAACTTTGGACATGATGACGTTTGATTTTCGGGCATACTTAAGAGAGTCATAGAAGTTGAATACCAAGTCCGGGTAGACCGGGGCTTCGAGTTCGAGAAAATTGGTCCAACCTTGCTCGTCGACTAGAGCAAGAACGGCATCCGGGATGTCCTCACGCTTGAGAACACGTCCCTTAATGACGTTGGCATGTGTGTAGGCATTTAGGATGAGTTGGGGGTTAACGTTTTCAAGAGGGACAATTTCCATCTCCGACATGATTTGAATTGTGGAAAGATTGAAACTTTAGAGTATTTAGAGATTATTGAGGGGATTGGAGAAAAAAACTAAAGAAATTTGAGAGAAAAATGGAAGAGAGAGATACCTTGTTGGCGAGGGACGCAGACGGAAGGGGGCGATGTAGACGGAAGACTGTGAAATTGGCGATCGGATAGGGAGGGTTAGGGTTTTTATTACCCGATGAGGCGTTCGGTACCTACTAACCGGTAACAGCAGTGGGTACCATAACACTAGATAAAGACCTGTACCTGCGAAGAAACTGTTGGTACCTGCACAAGTGTAGTGGTAGGCCGCACCGGAATAGGCGGAAAAGGGTTGTGCTTGAGTTCTTTCGGTCGGTACTTGGGTGAGTCTAGCAGTACAGGGTCCCGGATTAGGCGTTAAGTACCTGAGCACCTTCTCACCCGGTCGGTACCTAAGGATGGCTAGCGGTAGGGGGTCCTAGATGTGGGCTTCCGGACGGTACCGACTACCGTTTCCAACGATAGGGGCTACCGTTTCGTGCCTGATGTACCAATTGAGATCCCGTTTCACTATCTTTTTCAACCGTTGCCTCTTCCCTTGGACTTTGAGCAATATGCAATGATCAATTTGATTTTCAAACATGTTAGAGTATAATGGGAACCTTTAAATTATTTTAATTCAAGCATTCCCATTTCTCGACAAATATATATAAATTGTTTTTTCATCCAACGGTTTTATAAAAATATCGGCACGTTGTTCAAGCGTATTTACATATTCAATTTGAATATCACCTTTAGCAACATGATCACGAATGAAATGATATCTTATTTCTATATGTTTTGTTCTAGAGTGCAACACAGGATTTTTTGAAATATTTATAGCACTAGAGTTGTCACAGAAAATGGGTACTTTTGAAAATTTTAGGTTAAAGTCACCAAGTGTCTGCATCATCTATAAGATTTGAGCAACACAACTACCCATAGCCACGTATTCCGCTTCGGCGGTGGATAGGGCGACAGAATGTTGCTTCTTGGACGACCAAGACACTAGTGCATGACCTATAAATTTACATGTGCCACTTGTGCTTTTCCGATCAATACGAAACCTGTCGAAGTCAGCATCACTAAAACCTATCAAGCTTAAATTTGTATTCTTGGGATACCATAAACCCATATTGGTAGTTCCTTTGACATAACGAAGTATTCGCTTGACGGCGTTTAGATGTGATTCTTTAGGTGATGATTGGAAACGAGCACAAAGGTCAACAGAAAACATGATGTCGGGTCTAGATGCAGTTAAGTAAAGCAAACTACCAATCATACCTCTATATTGCTTTTCACTTACCGATTTTCCACTTTCATCGTTATCGAGCTTTAAGGATGTGCTCATCGGAGTTGGATATGTTTTTGAGTCTTCAAGATTGAATTTCTTGACAAGCTCTTTGGCATACTTGGTTTGGCTAATGAAGATTCCATCTTTGAGTTGCTTGATTTGAAGTCCTAGGAAGAAATTTAATTCTCCCATCATGCTCATTTCAAATTCGCTTGTCATAATTCCTGAAACTTCGTTGCATAAGGCTTCATTAGTTGATCCAAAAATGATATCATCTACGTATATTTGCACAATGATAAGATCTTTTCCTTTTGTTTTGACAAAAAGTGTGGAATCAATTTTTCCTTTTGCAAATCCGTGTGAGATTAGATGTTCGGTAAGCCGCTCATAGCAAGCTCTAGGAGCTTGTTTGAGTCCATAAAGAGCCTTATGAAGTTTAAAAACATGATTTGGAGAATCGGGATTTTCAAAACCGACGGGTTGTTCAACGTAAACTTCTTCTTTCAACCACCCATTTAGAAAAGCACTTTTTACATCCATTTGAAAGAGTTTGAAATTAAAAGCACTTGCAAAAGCTAATAACATACGAATAGATTCAAGCCTAGCAACCTGAGCAAAAGTTTCATCATAGTCAAGTCCTTCAACTTGGCTATAGCCTTTAGCAACAAGTCAACTTTTATTTGTGACAATACTCAATAGCACCATTTTCGTCAAGCTTGTTTCTAAAGACCCATTTGGTGCCCACAACAGGTTGGTTTGTTCGTCTTTCGACTAATTCCCAAACCTTGTTGCATTCGAATTGCTCTAGCTCTAGTTGCATGAAAATAATCCAATCACTATCTTTTAATGCATCTTCTACGTTCTTAGGTTCAAATTGACTAACAAACACATAATATGCACAAAGATTGTAATTATTCCAAGTTCTAACTCCCTTTTCAATATCCCCGATGATATTGTCTCTCGGATGATTCTTCAAATTCTTGTATGCTTTTGGAATTCATTTTTCTCCTTTTCCTCTTCTTGAACTGGAGTTTCTAAGACTTTTTCTTTCTCTTCTTCTTCTTCATTTGAACATGCAATTACCTTACTCGACCCAAAGGGATCAGTTTCATCAAATTTCACATGCATAGATTCTTCTACTTTGATTTGATTTATTGTATACCCTATAGGCTCTACTATTTGTTGAATAACCATGAAAAATTCCTTCATTTGATTTAGGCTCAAATTTACCTAAATGATCCTTGGTATTCAAAATATAGCATTTACACAAAAAAACTTTGAAATAGGCAATGTTTGGTTTTCTACCTTTCCAAAGTGCGTAGGGAGTCTTTTTAATAATAGGTCTAAGAAATACCTGGTTAAGAACGTAGCATGCCATGTTGACCGCTTCTCCCCAAAAATACTGAGGTAAGTTGTGTTCATTCTACATGGTCCTTGACATTTCTTGCAACGTCCTATTCTTCCTTTCAACGACTCCATTTTGTTAAGGCGTTCTAGGAGTCGAAAAGTTATGAGAAATACTGTGTTCATTGCAATATGTCTCAAACTCGGTATTCCGGTATTCTCCTCCTCTATCACTTTTAATAGAGATTATTTCATACCCTTTCTCATTTTGAATTCTCTTGCTCAACTTTGCCAATGACTTTCTTTCGGGACTTGTCTCCAAGGGTTACGTGTCTATGGCTTTTTTCTTTGATGTTTGTGAACCACGTTCTTGTCCCGGTCATATTCCTTGAGCACCCGCTATCAACTATCCAAGTTGTTTTTTTCACCTCTTCTTCATCATTGGAAGACATGAAGCAAGCATTGGCATTTTCCTCTTGGCTTTGGTCGCTTTCACTTTCGTCCGAATTTAGGTCGTCCCAAGTGACTTTTAACGCCTTCTTTTTCCCTTTTTTGAGATCCTTCTTCTTTTTGAGTTTAGGACATTCGGGTTTGATATGTCCTATATTTCCACATTCATAACAAGTAATTTGGTTAGTTTTACCTTTCTTCGATGGAAATCTTCTTGATGACTACCTTTGTTCCATTTTCGGAATTTCTTGTATCTTTTGAACATGGCGAATTCTTCATTGCTTTCTCCTTCGCTTTCTGATTTGTCATCAACCTTGAGAGACATGGTTTTCTTCACTATAGGTGCTTGTTCATCTTCTTTTTTCTCAAGAGAAGTTCGTGAGAGTAAAGACTACTCCAAATGGTGGAAGTTTCAACATCCGCACATTTAGATAGTAAATTCACAACAAAACTATGCCATTCTCTAGGTAATGAAAAAATGATTTTATGATTAATCTCACTTTTGGGATAAATTTTGTTGAGCTTACTCAAGTTGTTGATGATGAGGTTGAATCGCTTGTTCATGTCTTGAACAGATTCTCCGGTCTTCATTTTGAAGTTCTCGTATTCCGATGTTCCTAAAGCTATTTTGGTAGCTTTGGTGTCCTTGTCTCCCTCATGAGTGGCTTCTAAGAGATCCCAAGCTTCCTTGGCGGATCTACAAGAGCTTACCCTAGAAAACTCATCTTGACCCAAGGCACAAAATAGAACGTTTAATGCTTTGGCATTTAATGAGAGTTTCTTTTTGTCCTCGGCCGTGAGTTTTTCCTTGGGTGTAGGAACTTGTGTTTCACCTACAGTGGTCATAGGAATAAACAGGCCATTAGTAGTAACGATCCATAAATCAATATTGATGGATTGAAAGAAGTTCTCCATTCGCATTTTTCAATAACCGTAGTTATCACCATTGAAGAATGGTGGCTTGGTGATGCTTTTGGAATTCATCGAATCCATGTGTCGTGTAAGTGGTTTTCAAAAAGTGATTTTGAAAAAGAAAAAAAAATCCTGCTTTGATACCAATTGAAAGTCGGTTTGCACCCTAAGAGGGGGGTGAATTAGGGTGTTTGCAAGTTTTCCATAAAAACAAAAATTAAAACTTAAGCGCAAAGTAATAGCGGAAAAGGAGCAAGAAAAAATATAAAAGAGAAAAGTACGACATAATCGGTTTTATACTGGTTCGGGAACTCCCTACTCTAGCACCTCGAGGCTCCTCCTCAAGGATTTAATCTTCACTAACTTGTTTGGTTTCACTAATAAGATCCAAACGAACAACCCTTGCCAATAAGCAATGATATTTTTTACCGGCTATTTCGACCGTTTACAACCGAAGATTTAGACGCTATCTTCAACCTTACAAAGTGGATTTAAAGGCTATCCACACCTTTTAAATGGACAAAATGAAAATCCGCGTGCCTTGATAAACGTTTTGAAACCCCATAATTTCATAGATTACTTCACATGGAAATATAAACGTTCATTTCAAAAAACCTTCCAACGTATTGATTATAATTAAATGGACAAAATGAAAATCCGCGTGCCTTGATAATTGATTGACAGGAAATAAGTATGCGTTGAACACAACTTTATTTTCAAGCAATGCATCATATCATCATGTATATCCTAGACGCATGTTTTTGGATCATGGCATACTTTGCATACCGCGACAAGAGTGAAAGTCGGTTTGCACCCTAAGAGGGGGGTGAATTAGGGTGTTTGCAATTTTTTCATAAAAACAAAAATTAAAACTTAAGCGCAAAGTTATAGCAGAAAAGGAGCAAGAAAAAATATTAAAGAGAAAAGTACGACACAATTGATTTTATACTGGTTCGGGAACTCCCTACTACAGTACCTCGAGGCTTCTCCTCAAGGATTTAACCTCCACTAACTTGTTTGGCTTCACTAAGAAGATCCAAATGAGATTTGGCAAACAACCCTTGCCAATAAGCAACGAGATTCTATACC